CATTTAAGGTTGTGGTAGTCTTGAAATGGCTGTGATCTGTCAGTGTTGTTTCTTCAAGAGTGGAACATCTAATTTCATGTGGGAATGGTTTGTCAAGTTTTACAAAAAAATATGGTCAAACTAATCTAAAAATCTCTAGCTTTCTTGTCTTTTTTTACATAGCACACCGTATGTATTGATAAAAACCCAAAAACAATTCCTTGTTAATATACTGAAAACATGAATCAATTTAATTAAAAGGACGTTTAATTTGTTTTACTTTACAAAAATATATAGGTGTTTGGCATGGCGATTGTTATTCATGGTAACACTTATTTAGTTACAATTTCAATGTAAGTTGTTCATTGTTATTGTTATTGACAATGTTTTTGTTGCATGGTACATCTGTGTGCTTTCATCAATTTTTTTGTTCATAATTGCTTACCTTTTCTGGGCATCAAGGCCCCACAATCGAATCTGCCGATCGTACAGTGCTGCCTCATCCTCTGTTAGATTCATCTCTTTTTGTTCTACCATTTTAAAATTTCTATAAAATAACCATGTATAAATGACAAAGTCTCTCCTTTGATGCTTCAATTTCTGCCGGTCCCCACGTGTGCTGCAAACATTTCTAAACTCGGTTATTATTGGGTAGGATCAGGGTCATACAGGACTCGGCCAATAAGAACTCATTTTACAAAAACCGGAAATGAAAATAAAATACACAAGAACTACACAGGTGGCAAGATGGTACTACTGGAGAACGATGCTGTAAGTGAAATATGACATTTTCTGATATTGTTTTCGTGCATGTTTGCAAAATATTTGGCTATGTAACCGAATTTCCTCCCTTTCTCTTTTGTAGTTTCTTAGTGAACTCACGAGACTTTATCAAAAGGCCAAACCATCTGGATCCGTGGTGGTTACAATGAAGAGATGTAAGTATTCATACCTGTCTTTAAAAGTTGTAGGTTGATTCAACTTTTAGGGGTAATCCTAGCCAAATAAATTAATATAATTGGCCTGAGAACTCACAAAGTATGAACTAATTTCAAGTTGTGCTTGTAATTCACCATGATTGTCTTTTAGAGATGCCTTCCAAAAAAGTTAACTTGTATTTTGATTTTAACTCTAATTGACATATGTTTCAGTGTGTGCTTTTCAATGGCTACTTTTCAGAAGGATTGATTATGCTTAATGTAATATGCAAGGATGTCTAGCAGCAGCAACGGATTTTATCATTTTTAATCTTTGCACCACTGTAAATCTTCTTCAGATGATGGTCAGAATAAACCAAAACCAAAAGTAAAGAAATCTACATCACATCCTGAAGAAATTGACTACAAATGTCTCTTCAGAGCAACAGTGGGAAATAAAAAGATTTCAACAGTAGTATGTATTGAATAAATGTGATATGGGAAGAAACTGATGAATTTTTTTCTCTCATTTTTGTGTAAAATGTAATATGTACCTAAGAATATCTTATGTTGAATCCCACCTTGTAAAATTATAAATTAACTACTGTACATTGATGTCAGCAGTTTTATTAAAATTTAACCTACATCTGTATAAATTTATGTAGTGGTAGTGTTAAATGAATGTTATATTCACTGGTTTATATATAATTAAAATGCTTGATTTGGTGACATTTTTGATTAAGGTGCAAATTAGCCATTATTTGTATTAATTGAATATTTTTTTTTTCAAATTTTAGGTTACACACAAGGACGTTACAAAATTTCAAATGGTAAGGAAAATTACATTAACCTTCATCTTTTGGTGCCAGTGAAGTTTTATAATAAGACTGAAGTAATAAGACATATCCGAGTTTAAATTGCCAATGATAGATGTGTATTTTATATTTCCAGGCATATGCAAATGTATTAAAGGCAAATATTGATGGACTTAAAAAGAAAGCCAAGGGCAAATCAAAGACAAAAGCAACTAAAGAATAATAGACCTCATTCATTTCAACTAAAGATATTAACTAGGAGGCAAGCATTCAATATGGATGCTCATCTTTCTTTGCAAGATACATTTAATGAGAAATACAAGGATGGATTCAAAGTCTCTTTTTTTAACTTCAAAGTTATGCAGTTAACAAGGCAGAAATAACATTTTTTCAGCTTTTGTTTTTTTTTTTTTTATGTTTTGGATCCTTGCTGATTTCAGACTGCACTTTTCAAGTGCAAACTTGATCTAGTATTATCAGATTTTTTCACTTTTATTATTTTCAACAATTATTTATATTATTTAGTAAATGTATAATATTGAATGGATGGAATAAGTAGATGCTATCTAACTGTATGGTTATAAGTTATAAGTAATATCTATATTATTTCAAATAAATTTAATTGTTAGAATCAAGGAACACAAGTTATGCTTTGCTTAACAACTGTATTCTGAGAATATAGTGTTCTGTATATAATGATATATAACGCAATTACATATTGAACTTTTGTGTTGGTGTCATGAAAAACACCAAAATCTCCAAAAAGTCTTTTTTTTTTCCAGTGCCTTGGTGACTATTATTCCCAATTTTTTTCTTTTTTGTAAACAATTGCTCGATAATTAGTAGGTAATCTGTAAAACCTACATGTACAGATGTTACCAGTCAATGGTATTGACCAACCTTGCTCAAATGTAAGACACAAAACAAATACATTCTTGTAAGTAGTATAAACATGCATCTTTATTCTATGAGAAAATAGTTTGTTTCACAAGTGTTCCTGAGATTAATCATTTCCACAATCACTGTCATTGTCATCTTGTTTACTGGCTTCGTGACCAATGAGGAGGTCGACCTCCTCCAGTGGGGCGCGGACTCTGATTTCTTTCTCCGCCATAAGATCTGTTATCTCTTGTAGTCTGTCTGGAAAGTACTGAATGCCATCCATGTATATACTCTGGAAAAGATGAGTACAATAAAGTTTCAGTAGATGTCCTAACAATGGCTGATGAATTAATATGGTAAAATTTTACGGAAGTAGAGGAAGATGACACAGCATTTTAGAAGTTTTTTGACATGCTCAAGTCTCTCTCGCTGACACATTGCAGGCAGCTTCTTATGAATGACACTTAAAATATGGTGTGAATCATAACGGGAATCTTAATAATTAAGTAAATTATCTGACTTGTTCTTGAACAATGTTTCACGCCAGCAGCATACTTTAGCCCATGGGCAATCCTGCAGTGCTCTGTAGAACACTCCTTCTGACCTGTGAACATCCTCTGTGGACACCTGGAACAACACAAAGTTGAACTATAAAATTTATTAAGAGATGTCCTCACAGTACAGAGACTTCTGTTTAGGACATATGCTAGTATCAACTATCTTGACCTGACTGCCATTTATACAAAAATGTGACTGTTTTAGTCAAATATAACAATATTAAAATATGCACAGATGAGTGAATAAATAAAAGCTATTCATGTGATGTTTACAATAATCTCAATCGATCCTTTTTAAATCTCAATTCTTCAACAAACTATGGTATTCCACTGTAAAACCTTACCTCAAATCTCAAATATAATCTCCATAACAAGATACAGTTTTGTCCAGATGTGCTTTCCACAGCTCTCTCAAACATTGAGCGCAGTTTGTGTGTAATGCCAGTCTGTGGAATGGATGCACTAACCCAACCTACAATGCAAGTGAGCATAACCTTGAACGAGTACAGTTAAGAGTTAAAATGAATTACATATTCAGAATTACAGTGTTAAATGCCTGATCATTTGTTTTCACTTTTCGTTTTCATGCACAGTCATACATCAAATCTCAAATCATAATTATGGAATAAAAAATTGAAAAACAATGTAACGCTGTACTCCCCTGTACATCATCCAATAAAATGTAAATTGTAGCATTTTGGAAATGTCAATTTTGATGCTGCAGGCCATTTAAAACAGATTCAGATATATATAATTTTGATGATTTACCTGGAGCACCTGCTAATGCACTGGGTCCAACATTCATTCCTTGTTCTATCTTCTGTTGTCTCAGTAGCTCTGCATGTATTGCCATCAGCCATGGTATACATGTGGAGCACGTCTTGACAGCCTTGTTAAAGTACATACGCAAGTTCCCCAATATATGAGACTGAGACTCCAGCTGGATATACAGGCGCAAGAAGTATGGATGTTCTGGGTAGTCCTTCAAGGCTAGGAGAAGTGTGGATCTGAAAATATCATGTTGAGCAAACCATATAAATGGCAAAAACATAATCAACATTTATTACTGAATTGATATGTGTATCAAAAACTCATTCCACTTTTTAAACCTATGGTATTTCTTTGATAACATTACTTTTCATACTACAAGTTACACTTCCATTCAGCATCTGAAATTAAAGACCAACATGTGTTGGTCTTTTATTTCAGACCAACACGTTGGTTTTTAATTTCAGATGCTGAATGACCAACATGTGTTGATAACATGCTTCAAGTGTTGACACTTGTATCTATAATAAACACAACTCCTTACCTAGCAAAAGACATTGGTAAAATGGACGTATGTTGGTGATAAAATACAAGCCTCACAAATGCCCTCATTATTTCTTCCTGGTCCACCTGCAACTGTGAGGGGGAGGGGCACACACCATTCACTTCTGTTTCCCTGTCACATGGTGACAGTTTATTCTTGAGTTTAGACAGCACTTGTCCAAATACCACCGATGCAGCCTGCATGCTGACTGTGAGGTATTGAAATAAGGCAAAACACTCCGTCCATACAGCCAGGAAGCTGTCACACTCTGGGCAGATCCCATGTGATTCCACATTGAAGTATGCATCCAGTGTGCTTTCCATCATCACTTGGTAATTTTTTCTAGCTTTTAATAGTTTGGTTCCTGGTACATCAGCCATTGGTTTGATTATTTCATATTTCCCATCATCACCAAGGCATGATAGTATATGAAGTGCTTTAGTTTTCCTTTCATGGGAGATGTCACAAATTTTAGCACCATTTTCCGACTGTCCACCATCCTCATTGCACAGCCCTAGAGTCAATTGAGCATAATTTCTATAAAGCCTACACACTCCAGTCTTCTTATCCTCAGGCAAATTCACATAGTTCTGTGAGTTCATAGCAATGGCAGTGTCATATATCCTAACAGCTTCTTCTATGTTACCCAGTTGCCATTCCAGACTCGCATACACATCCCATAAGATAAGATTATTTCTATTGTTGCTTTCTTTCAGCATGCCTTTGACAGTTTTTCTGAGTTCTTTTGTGGCCTGCTTTCGTTCTTTGGCATTTTCTTTCCCAAGAACAGTTCTGATTTCATATTCCACCCATGCTAATGTAAGTAAAGTCTGTTCATTTCCTGAGATGACTTTAGATGCTTGAGAAAACATGTTTCTAGTAAATGTTTGATGGAAGTTTTTATCAAGTTTGACACTTGTGGACACCATGCCATACAATTCATCTTCACCCTGAAAAATTTCTTCTGCACTCTCAACTTTCAAAGAGAACCTCTCTCTGCATGTTTGTACAGAGCTTTGTGTCAGTGTCTCATTCTTTACTCCTAGTAAATCCAAGAAACAGACTATCAAGCTGAACTTCAGTTTCTGTGAAGATATCACAAACAGGCAAGGCACAATGTCATCAAATAAAACAAGTCTGTCTGGATCTTCACAGTCTTCTTCAGTCTCCCCTTCTTCCACGTCTGGTCGCCATGGTAACATGTGCCTTGACTGCCTTATCTTTTCAAACTCCAGCCATGTGGCACATCTTCCCAACTGCTTCTCCATAACTGCATCTTCCAGTGCATTATCTTCTTCACCTTAATGTATAAAATTATTTGAATTCTATGTCAAATGTTCAAATTAGTTTTTTTTAACATCAAGTCTTAACTACAAACAAAAGTAGTAGTCTCAGTAACTGATGAAAAGCCATTTTGTTTTCCAACTTGTGGGGGAGGGAGAGTTTAAAACATCTCATACAGCTTTAAATCTCAAGCAATTTGATTACAATGCACATACTTTTATATCTCATAGGTGAACAGTGGACAGGTTTTTCTTTCACACAATTTGCCCATCCAATGGCCCCAGTCTCCCCAAACCTAGGCATTCCACTGTCCCAGAATGCTTCAAAGACATCCAGCCTGTCTTTCTGAGGCAAGGCCATCAGTGACTCAGGACAACACAGGTTGAATTCTATTAAAGCTTGGAAAGATGCTATGGCTTTTTCCATTTGGCCTGCTTGCTTCAAAAAGGTACACATCTCATTGAAAAGTCCTAAAAATGTATACAGAAAGACTAAATAGATTCTGACAGATCGATAAGTTAAACTCACCCAAAACATTTAGAGAAAAAAAACTTATTGTGATTTAAGTTTCTAAATATACATAAAATGTGTAATAAGATGGGAAACATTGTATTTCTAGACTTTTCCCATATGAACTCACCTATCATATGTTCCTCAGTGGAGGGTAAGAGTGGGTGACTTTTTGTGGACCCAATCACAAACCCATTCAGTACCTGAAGTGCTTTATGGAAGGCAGATAATGTCTTTGAGGTAGAATACGTGCTAAATCTGGATTGAATAAAAGTTAAGTATTTCTGCCACAATTGGGGATTGTTGGGATGAAGAAACACAAGGTTCTCCCAGTCAGAATGTAATTTATCTGCCTCCCAAATCAGACCAGATAACTCCAGCTGTTTCATTTTCAACTCTAGTGAAGCTGGGTTGGTTTTCAATGCTTTTTCAATAATAGAGATTTTCTTTTCAAGAACAAACAACTCTCTCCTCTTCCGCTTTTCATGCTCACTGGGTTTAAACAGCTCCTGGTCTTTGGAAACTGTCTCATCTTGAAAGTTAACAAATTCCAACCACATCTTGATATCACCTGGGTTTTCTCTTGTATGTTTATTGTACTCGGCAGTTCTTCTTTGAATGTACTGCTCATGTGTTTCTACTAGAGTATCTTCCTGGACTGTGACAGGTGTGAGGTCTTCAGTTTTACCGAGACCCTTTCCCTGGGCCCAGAGGGCAGTAGATTCATCATAAACACCAAGAGGGTTGTATTCTTTGTCCCCACACAAAATTTCTACTGGACTGACTTCAACTGAGAGATAAGGCAAGGTTTCAGCACTCTCAACACAAAAAGGTTTATCTGCACCAGACTTTAATTTTGGTTTTGATAAGTCAATTGCAGGCTGCTCTTCATCTTTCAGTGTCTTTCTATTGCTAAAATATCTATTATCTTTATGCTTCCTTGACTCACTACTTTTACTGTCCCAGAGGAATGTCTGATTTTTATTAAGTCCAAGGCAAAAAATACCAGTTTTGCTCCTAGACCTTGCAATGTGTTGCTTGTATATTGAGCCATACATGATGTTGTTTCTGTCTGGCTTCCTGTCAACACGGAAAGCATGCTCAGGAAGCAGGTTAGGAATGTCTTCAATGAATATCTTTCCTGAGCTACCAGGAGGAACCGATTCAGTCTCAATCCTGAACCTAAAATTAACACAGCACAGTATATACATTTTTAACCAAAAACTAAACATTTCAACATCTTGGAAGTAAATTGTGTTTTTAATCCATCTTAACAATTTTTTTTGTAAATAAATCAAAATCTCAACACTATTATGTATATTTCTAATAAACACATGTATCTACCTCTCTTTATCCAATAAAACATCCGGCGATTCTAATGGCCTATCATGCTTATGTTTCTTGTGTTCCTTTTTATGCTTATGTTTATGCTTGGATTTTTTCTTTTCTTTCTTTTTTCTCTTTCTATCCATATACCTGCTGTCATCATCATCATCATGATGTCTTTTCTTTGATTTACCTGAGAAAAACAGTATACCATATGCAAAAAATCACATTTTAGCTTACAATAAAGCATGACACTAAATGAAACAAGACACTAAAACAATAACTGCACATATCTAAATTCAAGATTTTTTTACCTTTCAAAAAATTTGTTATAAAATTATGAATGTAAATATAAATGTTTTAATATCAGGAACAGAAGTTACTATAACCACCCAGTAGTTTCATACCACTGTTACCTTCATCAACACTTTCTCTCACTGTAAGACTTTTTCCTTCTTCTTCTTCTGAATTAGAAGAACTACAAAAAATATGAACATACAATTAAAAATAATCCATTGTCTTATATATATATATATGTCCAGATTTTGAAACAAAATTAAACTTTGAATTGTTGAACAGTGCAAATTACCAACAATTCTGTTTTTATAAAATGAGGAAATTTCATGATACTAATCACTGTTTGACATAAATAGTTGTCTAGATATAATATGTTAAACTAAACTCAATGGTACAATTTACTGGGTTTCTATTTTTTTTTTTTTTTTTTTTTTTTTGAAACACAAGCATGTTTTAAGAAAAGTAATACAGCTACATATTATGACTGTCAGAATTAAGCTATATCAAGCAGGTAGAAAATTTTAACAAAAGTAACATATGTTCAACTTTCACCTGCTCTCATGTGGAGTTTTCACTTTTGCCTCTTCCTCTTGTAAGATTTGCAAAGCGTATGCATCTTCTGCTTTGAAACTTGGATTGTGCAACCAATCATGACCTAAAATTTCCAACAGATAGATATCAGCATATACTACAAGGCATTTGGGGTTTACTACTTTAGGAACCTTGTTCAAACATACAGTTCAGTATATACCTGTAGCGATTTGGGGTGAGTGCAGAAAAATCATCGACCAGACCAGGAATCGAACCCGGGACCTCTCGCTAACAGGGCGAGTGCTCTACCGCCTGAGCTATCCGGCCGGTTCTACCCTGCATCTAGCACTACATACATACCCCCCCACCCCACACACACACACACACTTAAAAGTGGGAGGTAATGGGGAAATTGTAGAAGCTTTTCTGGCCTCGATTGAAGTTGGTTATTAATGACCTCAATGACACTACAATATATTTTCCCCTAGCAAATGAATTTTATAAGAGGAGAACAGGTGAACGGCCGCTAGTGAACAGCTGTTCGTTTTAGGCAACCAGAACCACGAACAAGGACGGGCACGTGACTTTGCTCTCACCTGAGGCTGATGGTTCTGCGGCATTTTGCTGATACGCAGGGAAGAGACCTAATGTCTGTTTTTCATTTGTAGATGTTGTTGCATATTGTGAGAACGCAGGGAAAATTCCACCGCGCTGTTCGCCTTCACTCATAGTCGCGAACGTTGTTTAGAAGTAATGACTTCCAAGACACACCAAACCCAAGTTTTCAAATTTTCCACTGAAATGTAAGTGTATTGAGAGAAATATATAAAATAGGGTCCAATTTTATTTCTCGTCTCAAAAGTTGTACATGTCTATGGGATGTCTGAGGTATAATGTAAAATTAATTGAAGTTCAACTGGCGATTTTAAGTCGTTGCTATTGAACAATATGGCAGCGCCCATTGCCTGAACATGTTGAAAACAACAGCTACTTTTTTGAGCAGAAGAACTTCCTTGCCTAGTCTGATTTGAGCTTTCATCATCTACCACTAAGGTCCCGAAGATGACGATCGCTGAGTTGTTTTCGTCTCTTGGAGACAACCCTTACTTTGGGGCAGGATTTGGTCTTGCTGGTTTGGGAGCGGGAGCTGCCGTCTTACGAAAGGGCTTAGTAGTGGCAACAATACTCTTCCGTAGGCACTGCATGATTTCAATGGAAGTTCCCAGCAAAGACGTAAGCTATCAGTGGATCTTGAAATGGATATCTGTAAGAGGCACCAAAACACACCATTTAAGTGTTGACACCTCTATTACTCAAAATGATGTTGGGAAGTTAACAACAAAATACAATTTTATCCCGAGTCCGGGTGATCATTTCTTTAGATACAAGAAAAACTGGATCAAGGTAGAAAGGGTTCGGGAGCAACAAATGACCGGTGCACACAGAGAAAACCCCTGGGAAACGGTTACATTCATAGCACTGGGAAACAACAGATCTATATTCTTTGATATTTTGGAAGAAGCTCGTATGTTAGCACTGGACAGTATAGAAGGGAAACTGATAACCTATGTAGCCAAAGGAGCAGAATGGAGGCAGTTTGGATTTCCGAGAACACCAAGACCACTGAGTTCTGTAGTCCTAGAAGAGGGTGTTAAAGAATCAATAGTTTCTGATGTGAAAGAGTTTATAAGTAATCAGCCATGGTACTCAGCTCGGGGAATACCATACAGAAGAGGTTATTTGCTTTATGGACCACCTGGTTGTGGCAAAACCAGTTTCATAACAGCTTTGGCAGGTATAAACAACATAGTTGCCTCCTGTGAAAAGAAATTGGGAAGAATGATTCTTAAAAGTTATATTAAACCATCTTGTTCCTACAAATTTTGAAGTATTTTATCTGAAGGGAGGGGGGTGAAAGCAGTTTTTTGTTTGATGTAAAAACATAGTTACTGTACCCAAGTTAACAGGTCTATTAGTCTGAGTTTTTTAAGTGATTAATCACATAGTAGTAGATGCTTATCCTGAACTGAATAGTTTTGACAAAATATGGTGTATTATTGTCAAGGTGCAGGTTGTCATAATTAACATGCTGTTATCTTGTTTTTAGGTGAATTGCAGTTTAGCATTTGCATTTTGAGCCTTAGTGAAATTGGTATGACAGATGATAGACTGAATTATCTCCTGAGTATTGCACCACAGGACAGCATCATACTATTAGAAGATGTCGATGTAGCAGTCGCTGGAAGAGACATGTCCAGAGAGGGTGAATATTAATCTTATATATTTCAATTAGGATTCATCTCTGAAATATAAGCAAAAACATGTGCTCTAAAATCTGCATCAATTATTTAAAGTAGAGTCTGTTTATTATGTTTAAAGCTCCTCAAAAAAGTGCTTGGTGACAATAGAGCATCAAAATGCTATTTTTTTGTTTCAGATCCAGATAGGTTTGCAGGCATGGGGAGCCTCACTTTTAGTGGGCTGCTTAATGCCTTAGATGGAGTGGCATCCACAGAGGGAAGAATAGTTTTTATGACAACTAACCACCTTGAAAGGTATTCATTGTAATTATCACTTGTAAAAAAAAAAATGTACAGTACAAGTATATTGGTATGGTCATTCAAAATATTAGGAATTTTAGAAAAATATAGTTTCAGTAGTGTAATGACTATTTCCAAAGACAAATAATATAAAGACTTATAATAATATATACACTTTTTTCCCTGTTAATCAACCATTTTATTTTTATCAGGCTACCACCAGCTTTGATAAGACCTGGAAGAGTGGACATGAAAGAGAAAATTGACTTTTGTACAAAGTATCAACTTGAACAAATGTTTCTTCGCTTCTTCCCGGATCAAAATCAAGAAGAAGCAACAGTATTTGCCGACTGTGTTATGTCACATGGTCAGGATGTTAGTGCTGCACAGATTCAAGGATATTTTATGTTTCATAAAAATGATCCCAAAAATAGCAATTGAAAATGTTCAAAAAATTTGGAGAACAGACTGAATGCTGGTAACATGCCATGAAAGAGGATTAAATGTAAATAACATAACTACATTATGATCCTTTGTTTTCATTTATCAAGAAATGAGTACATCTTTAAGTATTAGGTTGACTAGATTTTAAGTCAGAATGTGAATGTTGAGACTTTAGACTACAAAGAAGGTCAATAATAAAGTTTTTGTATAAAAATACTTTGGTTGTCATCTTTAAGATTAATTAAACTGTATGTTTCAAACTTATAAGTAATTTTTTCCATCAGTACCAAATGTATTTTAATATATTTATATTAAAGAAAAACAAGCATTCAAGTAATATAATTTGTTATTAATAATCCATCCAGATGCACTGTAATACAATCTACTTTATACCCAAAAAGCTTTTCCAGTCATGATTTACATTTTAGATCCAAGTATCACAGTTTTGTTTCCTTTGACTTGGGGTCTTCTTTTTCTTTAGGTTTAGCAGAGCGTGCAAATTGGACAACCATTGGTTTCCCATTTAAAACAAATCCATTGGTCTCGTTCAAGGCTTTTTGAGCAAGATCCTCATTAGGCAATGTGACAAAAGCCTGTCCTTTCATCCTACCCTCAGTCATGTGTCTAATATCAAACATGTTTGTCTGTTCTTCTGATGTCCAGTCAATGTACCGACCAAAAACATATTTTAAGTCTTTTTCTGTGACATGTTTCGCAAGATTTTTAATATACAACCTGCTGGTTTGATCACCAGCATCATATCTTTTAAACACATTTATATCTTTCATTTCTTTTGAGGATAACCTCCCACGTTTGAGTTCACTAGATGAAATGAATTGAGTTACATCTGAATCACTTTCTTCGCCGTCATCAGCTTCTGCCTCTTTAACTACTGGCTCAATTTTTCCAAATCCACCTTCCTCAACCTGCACTGGTGGTTTCTCAAATGATTCTTCAAGTTCTAAGTTTTCACTGGGTACAATTGGTTCTATTTGGTCAGCGACTGCAGGAACTTTGATTTCTATTTTCTTTTGTGCTGTAGGCTGTGGCTGTTCAAAAACATCCTCTGCTTTTGGTGCATTTGACAAAGTTCCACTTGGTATAGGTTTAGGGATTATAAGATCATGTAATTTCAGTTTCTTTCTTGGTCTCTTTTTCTGATGCTTCTGTCTTTTCACTGGTTGTTGTTTCTTTCCTTTAGCCTCATCATCAGTGTCACTCTGTATTTCAGATTCATCCGTGCTTACCACCTCCATTTCTTCCATATCTGGCCAGTCTGGTTCAGAAGGTCTGGACTCTATAGGCCTACCTTCAGGAAGGGGAGGGGCTGGTGTAACCAGACCGAACGGTGCTGGCATATTCATTTTGTTCATCAGATGTAAAACTTGAACATAAAACTTGGGCACAGTTGCAAGTGCATGAGCAATGTTTGTCAAGATATTAACATCTGGCGGTGGGTAGATGTAATGTAAGTTAGGGTTGTAAGGATAATCAATACCTAACTTTTCTGCTATTTTTCCAAACGAAGGGATTTGATTTTCAAGCACCTTCTCCTCTTCGATCTTGGTTGTTTGTTGTTTTTTGAAATTTTCCTCTTTGAGCTTGTCTTTGAATGTCTCAGAGTCAGAAAACTTGGGATGAAACTTCTCATATTGTTTCTTTGAAAATTCTACACTTAGTCTACAACCAAGGATCTCTAATTGATGAAGTCGTTCTAAGGCCTTTTCTGCCTGTTCTTTAGAATCGAACACAGCGAATGCGGTATGCCGTAGCCTTCCTGCTGTGCCCATGCATTTTGTTCGGACGGCCCCAAAATGCTTAAGTAAATCCCCCTTCTCATCTTCAGTTAACTCTGCAGGCAAGTGCCTGATAAATAGGGTTGAAAGAGCATCAGCCATGTCAAAAAGCCAAACTCACTCTACTCATGCATGCTCTCCTCACCGGAAGTAAGAGGAAGTGGGAAGATATGTCATATTTTTAAGATTCAAAGTTCATTATGTGGAAGCAACTCGTTCTGTCTCAAAATATATTTGCAATCATTAAATTGTTTATGCCACATATCGTATTATATACGTCAAAATATTTAATTACAGCTTTCTGTACAGTAAAATACTTATCGCCAATGATAAAAATGGCTCAAGTACTCCCCTTGAATACATTACCTTAATCTTTGTTATTTACACAGCCGATGAAAACAAGAGAAGGAAGCTGAGAAGGTGGAGGGGTTATGTAGTACCAAGTGAGGAGAAAAGAAAATGTCAGGGATGAAGCTGCTTTGTTGTTTATTTTGCTTGGTGTTCTATCCCGTATTCTCTCAATACTATGGACAGCCAGAGCAAGTGCATCTCTCTTATGGTGGTAGGTTTTTTCAACGATTTTTTTCTTTTTTGTTTCTGTTAACAGTCACGTTCCAATGAGTCGTAGTTACGTGACGCAGCAACAGTTTGCTTCTTTTCACTTCAGTTAATTCATGATCAGGTGACTTGTTGAATTGTTATAGAATGTGCATGCACAGAACGGGTACCAGTGATTATTAAGTTCATATATAGCATGTATAAAATGTGGATTTTTTAAATAGAAATTTGTCATTAATTTTTAATCTCCTTGACACTGTATGATCTTGATTAATCTCTGTCTTTCTTCTGTCTGTTTAGTCACCCCACAACAGATGATAGTAACATGGGTCACGATGAGTGAATCAAACAGTTCCATTGTGGAATATGGACAGAATGGCTTGGATCAGGTGGCATATGGCACTGAGACTAAGTTTGTAGACAGTGGAGAAGAAAAAAGAGTAATCTTTATCCATAGAGTAACTCTGAATGACCTTATTCCAGAAAAAATGTACAGTATGTATGGCAGCGTCACATTTTGTCATTTTTAAATATTAATTTAATTACTTTCAGTGCATAAGACTATTCTGAATCTGTTAATGCTGTAAGTAATATTTTGAGAGACCTAGCTTTTATTAGCTGATATTCTTGTGTAACGTACAAAATCTAATCTGATATAAGCACCCAAGTTGTATATTGTGTTTGCTTGATTTGCTTAAGTCACTTACTAGTACTCGATAGTATTTTATTGATTTAAGACTTGTTCACATCAAGTGCTATAACCTTATATCAGTACTACTGGTATGTTTTGAGAGATTGACAACTCATAAATCTGATTTTTCTAAACTTTAAAACTGATATCAGATATAAACATTTAAGTATTTGCCAAAGTGCTTTAGGTGACAGAAAAGTGTTTTATTGATATAGATAAGAGATACTGCCTACTGAAGAAAGGTGCAATCAGAACCTGAAAACCCTTTAAACTATTATCAGGTTAATGTTTGACTCCTGTAAACCCCATTTTGACTTTATTCTGTCAAATATCACGTTTAAACAGAATAAATTTCTTTTCATTTTTTTTTCATTCTACATATTTGTTATTTTGTTATAAGACTACCCTGTAGATGAAAAGATATGTATAAGTTTTGTGTAACTCAGTTTCATCATGGTTCTTTTCAGAGTATCACTGTGGAGGCAAGTTTGGTTGGAGTGGTATTTACACATTCACAGCCATGAAAGACAGCACAGAGTGGAGTCCTAGGTAGCAGCTTCATTTTTACTTCATTTTATGAATTTTCAGTTTTACACACTTGCATATACATACAGAGAGAGAGAGAGAGAGAGAGAGAGAGAGAGAGAGAGAGAGAGAGAGGAAAATGACTGACAAATTTACATATTTCTAAATTCTTAAGATTTCTTTGTTTCAACCCCATGGTTATCTGAAAATGAATTAAACAATTCTGTTGTTGCATTGTATTTAATTATTTTATTGTTCATTTTTATTACAGACTTTTAGTGTATGGAGACTTTGGCAATGTGAACAGTCAGTCTATGGCAAGAATACAACAAGAAACTCAGAGAGGTCATTTTGATGCTGTTCTGCATGTCGGTAAGTCAACATGTATCTGTTGTCTTTAAGAATTGTTTCATCTACAAAATATTTGAAACAGAAGTAAAGTGAAGAAGACACTTAAAACTTATTTGTAAGTCAGTTTATTTGTAGAGATTACTTTCCATTTAATTTTTTTCTTTCAGGTGACATTGCTTACAACCTTGATACAGTAAGTTTTTAGAATTATTATGCTTAGATTTCAGAGTTAAATTATCAGCTTGCTCTATTCAGTTGTCTGTAAACCAAAATAATGTAAGAAGCACATACAAATAGAGGAAAGGCAGCATCACTATGAAAATTTTGATAGTTTTGTATACGTTTATAATTATCCAAATTTTAATAAACTTGATTTGATTTTTCTTACAGTCAAATGGTCGTATTGGAGATGCTTTTATGAGACAGATAGAAACAGTGGCAGCCTATGTACCCTATATGACATGTCCAGGGAATCACGAGGCTGCGTAGTAAGAATACAAATGCTTTATTGATTCTCATACTTTTATTGTTGTTCACAATATTTGTCAAGCAGTTACTTTATCCTAAGTCACATTTTGCAAAGACTTGGAGTTTTTGTCTTTAAAACCACAGAAGCTTTCATTTTGATAGAATTCTTGTATTCCGTTTCCAGTAACTTTTCCCACTACAAGTATAGGTTTAATATGCCAGGTGATGAACAGAAGAACATGTATTACAGGTAGGGTAAAAGCTATGTACTGAAATATAGCAAAGAACTGATTCCAGTATGAGTCTTTATTCAACATCTGTATTTTTAAAACATTTTCTTTTCAAAGTATTTAAAACTCTTTTTCCCCATCAGAGGTAAATTGTTCCAAGTAAGTTGAAAAAATAATTTATATAAACATACATAAACAAGTAGCATAAAAATTTTGTATTGTATGATTATTTAATTGATTTTTTTGACATTTTTACAGTTTCAACATGGGCCCAGCTCACATCATTTCCTTCAGCACTGAGTATTACTATGAGGTTTCCTATGGCTGGTCACAGATATTCACACAGTACTTTTGGTTAGAGAAGGATTTGCAGGTACTCCAGTGTTCATTTTTAAATCTTGTACTGGTTATAAATGAAAAAAAATTCATTTGTTCACACATACTAACTGACTTTTATCATTCTTTTGCAGTTAATTGCACTGAAAATGACCCACACGAGCTAATATTTTTTTGCAACAAACTTTAGATAATCATGGAATTGTTTTCTGTTAAGTTTTCATTTCTTGGTTTTCAGGAAGCCAACAAGCCAGAAAACAGAGCCAAAAGACCTTGGATTATTGTCTTTGGCCACAGACCCATGTACTGTTCCAATGCTGACGACCCTACCATGTGTTCTAATATAGATAACTATGTAAGCTTTCTGCTCTATGAATTAACGGATGACATTTTGATTTTTCTGAAAAGAAATGCAGATTTCTTTTAAGTCACACATTCCAGTATGGGTGGAAATTGTTTACTGTAAAATGAATGAATGGGATACATGATATAGATACAGAATCACCAAAAATCATTCTGCATAAATGATTTTGATTTAGTTTTAAACACTACAAATTCTTTATCATATTTATTATTACTTTTAGTGGATGAAATTAAGTGAACTTTATATTTCTTTAACATTTTGAATATTACTGTGCTCCATTTAAAAGCTAGTGTGATATTTCTATTTAGGTACGAGTGGGTATTCCACATGTTCATGCGTTCAGTTTAGAGGACCTGTTCTACAAGTATGGGGTAGACCTGCACTTCTATGGACATGAGCATTCATATGAAAGGATGTGGCCTGTCTATAACAGAAAGGTAAATGTCTAATAGTATTTGAATATACAGAGGCATTTGATTAGTCTCATTGTTGTCAGTCAAATATATCACATCTTAAAATGTATTATAAAAGTAGGTTTTATTTGATGTCTTCAGTTTCTTAAAATTTCTCAATTAATTAGAATGATATAAAGAACAACAATAGTGAATTTAGTGTCAACTTTAGAGTAAATGTTTTTGGATGAAAACAAAACCCACATCTGGATATATTGTTTGAGTGTGATTTTTCTATTTGTTCATTTCGTAGGTGTGCAATGGCAGTAACGACGAGCCGTATCACAACCCACCTGCCCCAGTACATGTAGTGACTGGATCTGCTGTAAGTTAACAAAGCCAGTATTTACCTTAGTTCACATCATGAGACTTAGACCAGAAAGGGGATTATTGACTTTACCATACTGTCTGATTACTCTTCATAGGATTTGTAATTTCACATAATTCAGTTTGTAATCAGGTTATTGGATGATGTTGATTAGAGTTTAGTTTCTTTCTGGTTTAGGTTAGTCTTGATGTAATGTATGTAGACAAGAAAGCAGTTGAGAATGTTCAGCATGTTTTTTTGTTTCACTGAAGTATACTTCTATTAGCCCTTGGGGAAAAAAAGGAAGACGGTTTCGCACATTGGCATTAATGCGTGAAAAATGATTTGTTCTCCAGGGTTGTGATGAAGGAGAAGACCCCTTTATCTCTAATGGTCTTCCCTGGAGTGCATTCCGGTCTGATGACTATGGCTACACAAGAATGAACATCATCAACTCTACACATCTCTATTTGGAGCAGGTCTCTGATGACAAGGTAACTAGAAATATACACCTGGTGTGGCTTCTATTAATGAAGAATTAGTTCTATTGTATTAAGATGATTCATTTTGAAAATTGGAATCTCGTATTGAAAAAATTCAGTTAAGTTTCATTCTGTGGAACTGACAGTTTGTGTGAAGTTTTCTAAGGGTCAGAATTTTGTGTTAAGTTCAGGGCTTTTCCCAGGATTGAGGGTACAAGCCGTCCAAAGTTATCACATGTAATTTCCTACATAATTTGATCGAGTCCAAGCCAAAAGTTTTTTAAAAAATTCATGAGTCGTCTTTGAAAATATTGGCCATCCAGTGATGCTGGCTGCCATCCAAATGACACAGTTAGCTGAGAAAAGCCTTGGTTAAGTTTTAACTGTGTTTCAACTTAAAGTCATAAATATTAATAATTCAAATAAGATAAGTCTACAAATTTGCCCAAGATAGATAAGTTATTCATGAGTTAAGTTCTTCAAAATGTTAAAAGATTTATTTATTTATTTATTTATTTATTTATTTGAAAAACTACATTTTTCATTACAGGATGGTGCTGTAATAGACAAGATGCTGTTGATCAAGGAGAAGCATGGTATGGGGACATTTAACTGTCACTAAATGGGAGGATTGCTACAGGTGTGCAGTGACACATAAATGGTGCATTCACAATCTACTCAAACCACTCATTCACACTGATGAGACTTATCAGACTTTTGTCGGAATTTCGACTTTTTCAGGGTCATTTGGGTCATTCTTGTGAATCATGTTCCCTGGACCCCCGGCCAATTTCCCTACTTTTTCGGTGAGGACTGATCTTATCTCTGCATCCATTGTCAGCACCCACTAGTCAAAATTATCTACAGACAGAGACTCGAGACTAGTAGATATCAGAGAGTTAGAAATCATGATTTTGTATTGTAGAATGAATAAGAGAAGATGATGTGTGATGTATTGTGGTTTATTCTAAACTCAACATTGAGTAGGATGGGTTGAGCATGTTTAATACTACAATTACTGTGATTGAGCTTGACATAATTCTGTGCTATTAACAGCTGTTTTAGACTTCCTTGTCTGAACTGTTTTACTGACATGGAAATTGAATTTTTTTTTCATTCTTAAAACTATGTATATCAAAATTGATATTTCTTAGCGATCATGCTTTTCAAATATCATCTCCAGAAGGTATTCAGGATTTAAATTTAAGTATAGCTTAAGTGAATTCCATTTTTGATATCCATCCATTTTCATTTTTATATTGTGACTGAAAAAGCACCTCTGCCAAGGCAGCTCAAGTTTTATTATTATTTATTTAATGGAACAACAACAAAATCTAATTGATTCCAAATTAGCCCATTTTTGACCTATTCCAAAAAAAGATAAGCTGTTAACTAACAAACTTACAAAGGCAGAAACATGACATCCTTGGCAGGGGTGAATATAATTGTTTATCAAACATTATGATTGTTGTGCAATGTTCGTCATATTTGTTCTTGAATACAGAAAGGAAGATTTACTTCTTATGAATGTTTTGTGACCAAGATCTATTTATTGTCATAAAAATGAAAATGTAAAAATGAGAAATGCAAAAAAAATGAATGCCATATCTTACCATATATATTTTGTTCTAGTCTTTGGTGTATAATTGTCTTACAATATTCGATGTGGATGTCATAATAAAAACGTTTTTCTTTTTAAAACCATGTTTTGTTATTATTTTTATCAAAAAGATTGTAGTTTTTGTCAATACTAGGAATATGAATCTGATGTTTTAGCCTACGCTACTTTACATTGTGTTTGAGAAGTCTTAATATCGATCCCTTTAAAAATGATTATAGAGAGTGTTGCTGCTTTTTGTGCACATGTCCAGTGTTACCTGCTGCAGGTGATGCCTCAGCAACCCATTACCTCCAGACTAGAACCACACTTAAAAACGTGCCTTAACTTGGAAGGGCGTGTCCAGTTAACAATTTTTTTGAAATGCCACTTTAATCACTGTCTAATAATAAAAGGCAGTTAAATCGATGTTCAAACGAAGCCTAATGTAGAGCTCTCCACGCGTCTGTTTTTGTTTATCTGATCTTTCTTCTGGCTCAAATGCCCATTACACCAAATATCGGGATGCAAAGAAGAGAACCACAACTGCGTTTGGAGGGATGTGTATGTCCAGTGGTGGAGAAAACCCGTTCCACGTGGACCTAATAACGCGTTCAAATATAACCTTTGGAAACTGACACTGACTGCCAGCAGGGGCACTTTGTTCAACAAATCACCGCTGTCCTCTCCCCTGTAGCACCCCTGAACACTTACCTGTCGGCTCTAATTTCATGAAATGAATGGGCGACCTAGCAAGTCCATGCATTCCAATGTCAGTGGTTTGACCGGGGTTTCTGTTAATCTAATGATGTGATTTAAGTAACAAGATTTAAGTGGGAAAATGAAGAAAAAGCAATGGACCAGGGGTCAAAGCCTGGAACACATTACAAAAGAAAACGCAACAGTGATTCATTCGTTGGCGTGAGATTTCTTGAAGGGACTCAGAGAAAAACCGGGACAATTTTAATGAGGTTACGATAATAATAGTAATTACCGAAAATTGCTTCTAAATATGCTGTTCGATACAAACAAACGACAAACTAAAATGGCATTTTCCCAAGAAGTTTTATTGTAAAATTGCCTATAGAAAGCACAGTGCGGAAATCAATAAAAAGTGATTTTGCTGTAAGTTCTAAATGGACGTTATTTATCAGATCGTCTACTGGAGAACACATTGTCTCTGTGAAGTTTTGCGCTAGATTTCACGTTGATATAAATTACGTTAGAGCAACTAGCTGTTCAAAGGCAAAGCTTATGCATGCACCCAGCATTTACCTTCAAGATATATATATACTTATCCTGCTGTAGCAATCTCAAATTATTCGCTGTAATATAGTGATTTTCTTGTGAAAGCAAAAAAGAAGTGCACGTGTATTTCCCACGTGTGTGTGGTCAATTTATATAATTTAAAAGACAGATTGAACCACAAGGGAGGTCGGCTGTACAAAATAGAGACCATGTTTTTCTAGTCATGCCTCGGGAACTGCAAGACTGACGCAGTGCCACAGAGGCCGTCTAATAGAATGCTATCAGTCCATATATATAAAAAGCGGAAACAATACATAATATTTGCATTATTAAAAGCAAAAAACAAAACAAAACAATATTGAAACTCGCGTATAAACCCCGGTAATATACGTATAACGAAATAATCGTTCAATAGTTCTAATAATAAAGTCATAAAATACATGGCAGTGTAAGTGGCTTTATCATAGTCGTACACAAGATAAGCGAACAGTGGGCGTAGATGGAGTTTACACCAACTGGATATAAGACCCCATTTCCAGAGATTAGATCGATCTACAAGCTGTAAGGGGGTAATTAACTTTCGTGTCCGCCCGGCTGACAGCTATTTAGCGTGAACCCCCAGGGAGTTAGGTCGATCTAAAGTAGGTCGATCTAATCTTTGGAAATGGGGCGTAAGACAGCACTGATTTCCCCCAAATTAAATCATCAAACTTGTAATTTCTTTTACGTGATCATATCGTAGCGATCAATGCACGCAAGATGTCTTGGTATCCTCGGAATTTAAATGCATTTCACATGAAAAGTAAGCAGTTTGACATTCGCTTAAAGGTTGCCGATATTCTAAGCCAGAATTCATAAATGTCATCTTCAACTGAGGAAATTGAAGTGTTCGTAGCATTCGTGTCAACAAGCAATTTGATGAAATTATCATAAATCGTGGTTAGTTTCGCCTAGTGTCCATTATTCATGTACCACGGGTCTAAGGCAGGGATCCTCGGTGGATAGAGGTGCACAGGGTGTATTATTTCTCCCAGCAAAATGATACCAAACCGTCTCTTTGATAACTGGACAAGATGTCGTCAGCTATACTTGTTTTTGGCAAGACTCTGAACGGTTTCTTGGCCAGAAGAATGAACGCATCTGTGTGTAAAAGTCACACATCCATTGACATTTTAGAGGAGATCCAGCGCCTAAAACTTATGTCTTATCAGTAAACCCTTCTTTTCACCGATACGCTTCATTACAAAATGAAATGCATCATGTTTACAATTTAGAGGGAATGGATAGACTGCCCCTTTTTAATGAACTAACTACAAAACGTAAGCTTCAACATTAAAAGCAAAAAATACACCACAATCGTATATTCCATCGATATACATTTCAAACTCGTCCCGTTTTCTTTGTCAAAATCTCAGTTGTTTGTCAGATGTCACCTTGTGCTAACTTATATCCCACATATCAGATCGGACTGTACCCATAAATGCTGTAACAATATCTAGGAAATATGACGACTCCGTGTCCAATTAACCTTAATTAACCTTATGAATCGGATCAAAAGAACAATAAGACAATTAAACGTAAAATTGATAGCAACAGCTGAAATGCAAGACTGGTATAATACTGGCAACAAACATGTATTATTCCTGAACACATCAAAGATGAGGTAAAAAATCGTATTTTTTCTGTCAAAAGGTATATCAATAAACAACAACATTCGGTGGTTATTTGCTCTCCTCTAAACAGCTCCAGACATTTGAAAACGTTTTTTTTTTATGAGATGACATGATCAGATTTTACATATATTGTCACGATATTTCATCAAAAATTGAAATAATCCGAGATACCCTTAAACATGTGTTTCAAACATGTGTGACATCATACAAGATTATAAAACAAGCGAGAATCTGCGTGAGGTGGTTATGACTTAAGCAATAAAGGATAAACTATGCGTCGGGAATGTCGCCTTCGAAAGCAATACAGAAGTAACTCACAAAATATGGTGAATACGCACTGTTGCATAAAAGACTGCAACTCTACAGAACAGAGAAAACAGCCAAAAATATCCCTGGATAAATTCTGACAGATTTCATTCGTTGTCGAAACGCGCTTGCTCGTCTGCCGTCACTTCTAACCTTACGCTCTTCCAAATCAGCGAAATCTCGCTTGATTTTACGCTAAGTCGCGAGAATTAAGGCTATCTCGGATGATTCCTTCACCTAGCCAATCTGGGTGTAAAAAATCTGACGACATCTCTCTTCCTCAGCGGTATATTATAGCCATAACGTTGAGGTTAAAAGATAAAATGTCAAATATGCGTAAGTTTTTTTACTCCTGGCCCGGTTTCATCAACATTGGATAGCGCTATAGGCCTATCCTCTGGACAACACTATCCATTAGATGGAATTGTTATCCTCTGGTCAGTTATCCTGTGCGTAAAATAGTGTTTTCTAAACACTTGCTTTTCCAGTGGATAAAAATGACTGCTATCCTCAGGATAAATGTCCAGAGGACCATAATTTTATCCCATGGATAGTGTTATCCATAGGATAGCGCTATCCAGTGTTGGTGAAACTGGGCCCAGGTGATCCAAGACTATTTATTTCCTCTAATGCACATCGTAGGCTGTTAATATATGTATATATCACAGGGAACCTTTTCACACCAGCGAATTAATTACCTAATTAATTAATTAATCAATTACAACATAAACTACATATATTACTTTTTGCCACCAGTGCAGAAAACTTGACCAAAGTAGATATGGTTTCTGCAGCAAGTATAATATTTCGGATCATACGCTCTCTTTCCACAGCACATGTGGCCTCTGCCAAACGACAATTTCCCATAGCAGCAGGTATGAAATTCGTTATAGAACGCTTTCTGCCCGCAGCAGACCTGTTTTGCCCCGCCGTAGATCAAGCCATAACAGCAACTGTGCGTCGTAGGGTCATACGCCTTCGCACCGCAGCAACGCAGATGGCCGCCAGAGTAAAGCTTTTTGTCGCAGCAGGTGAAGAACCTGGGATCGTACGGCTGGCTGCCGCAGCATCCGCTGGTAGCCTCGGCAAGCTGTCCGTTGCAACAGCTTGATCGTAAAGGGTCGTAGGCCAGATAGCCACAGCACTGTTGTCGGCCCCCGTATTGAATGGCGCCGTTACAACAGGTGTAGTAACTTGGGTCGTAGAATCTCAACCTTCCGCAGTAATCTGCATATTGAAACAAAAAAGAAGCTTTTTTAATATTCATATTCTTTCTTTATATTTTATATTCGATTAAAATAAAAGCGTATTTTATGTCGCATCATTTTTGTCTTAATTTACTTATAGGAGAAAGCCGTAAACCCGGAGAGAATCTTTGGTATTTGTTTCTATTCTATTACTTGTTCTTAAAGAGCATTCCACTTGTAAACGTACATGACAGTTGGCATGATTGAAAAGAACTTTAAAACAAACGCTTTCCCAATAATCTAAAAAAATGGTCTATGAAATTAAAACGATTCTTTTACAAAGGCATGAAGGCTGTCTTACAGACAGACAGTTACACTTAACCGAATTAAACATCTAACAGGTATAAGCACTTGTCTTGTCAGTTTCCCACTCTGTTTTGCGTTCCGACTGATCAAGCAATTTACACCTATTCTTGTCAACAGGTGTTTTAATGTTTTACCAGGTGGTTTCTCTTTTCATCTAGACTGATCTCGCTCGACCGGGTCGCCTGTGCACAAACTGAAAACTACCCCAAAAAAGAAGCTTTGCAATCTATAATATTTCTTGCGTCGGCTCTTCCTTTTTTAACCCCCAGACTACACTAATTATGACTGTTCCCTTTACCTCATGTAAACCATAGACCAGGCTAGTTTCATGCCATTTGAATTACGTTACCTCAAGTACCCTTTAACTGAGGTTGAGGGACGTGTTAGCATAATATCAATTGATTAAAAAGGAAGACCATAAGGAAGTTGCCTTGTGCACAGTGGGTATTCATCTTTGATATTTTTTCTCTTTATGTCTAAAACGTCATAAGGTAGAGGAAGAACAAATGTGACTGTTTTCATTCTTTTTAACTTTTAACGAAAAAAATGTATCGACACGAATCCGTATTGTAACAAGGAATCACATATCTCTTATACGCGAAAAAAGGGAAATAAATAAAGTGAATAAATTGAAGAGCGTGCGTTTTTGAATTTGACAGTGGTATTCTTGTATTTCCTACCAACATATGTGGTAAAAGCGTTAATGCGGATTTTGCCTGTGCACCGATCTATCACCGAGCTATTACGTGGAAAAAGATATCATGATAGCGAAAAGCTGGTTTAGTCCCACTGAAGGCACGGATATTAACTTTCATCAAATTTATTGTGAGTGTAGTTTTGCCTTATTCTTCCACACAATCACTGCTATTACAGACCACCGGCGACACAATTTACAGGTTAACGGTGCGTAACTGGTGTTAAAAGGAACGCGTTTTCTCGTCTGTCAAGTGCATTTTACTCAACACATGTTAGAAGGAAAGAACATGCACAGAGTAGTTGTAATACGTCCTATGCATATTAAGGACACAGTGTGTTTGACGAAGCATAAAACGGGTAACTCCGATTTTCAGTGGATTCAAAGGTGTAGAAATGAAGGCAGATTTCACAAATTGGAGTGAAAAAATATCCACAACCCTCTTCAATAAGAAACTTAAATGTGATTCTGAGGGGGAAAGAGAGACCTTTTGTTACTAAATATGGGGAGGAGGAAAAGGGATGCAGTTAGAAAATGTTTTTAAATTCTGAAAGGCATTCTTCCTATCTGTACTATGGGAACGGATATACCATTTTTCTGCTGCTCTGGCCGAAAGGGTGTAAGAAATGCATACCAGTCGACAATGACGTAAGCGACAAACTTACTAAAATGCACTAACGCGCATGACAAAATGTTAGCCATCTAGACCCTTCACATGAATACACGAAACAAATGTAACTAATTTTGTCACTTAAGCTTGTTTGTCTTCCGTGTGTGATTGTTACCACCAACTGAGGAGATATGTACAGAAACTGATCAATTCGCCATTGGAAGCACGTGTTTTCACAGTCGTTTTGTTTTGGCTCAGTGTGACAAAATGAGAAACATTCTCAAAGAAGAATCGGTTTGAAGTTAAGAATGAATTTTTGCATAAGCTTTTCTCTAAACAAACCTCCCAGCTATGTTTCTGCAGAATCCGATTAAAAAATAAAATAAGCTTTAATTTGTCAAGTATGAAAAGATGGTGTAACTTTAGGTAAGATCAACATGAAAAGAAAAAAATAAGGCGACATTCCGCCCAGTGGAGGTCCTGACTGTGAAAGGTTTAAATATACTAGCGTCCCTATTCATTCTATCTAGTGCACTTTTCGCTTTACTTCATTAAAAGGATATCTCATTTCTGAATATTCGCCGGCAAATATAACCAGATTGAATTATTATATTGGACTTGGTTAACGTTACTGGTACAAGGAATGGTACTTTAAGGCAACATACCCCAACGTATTTTTCACAAAAAAAGCATGTGACCTTTCAAACCATTTCAAGATATGGAAAGCAGAAGTGGTGCATTTGAACAATATTTTCAGTTCGTGCACAGGAATGCAAAGCAGGTTTGATAAAGTTTAGACTGAGGTCTAGATGCGGCTATAGTTAAGTGTAATCTTAATATGAAGTAAGAGTGGGGTTGTCACTACCAGGTGGGTTCTTTCCACTTTGTTATTTACTGCTTCTGGCTACTGCATCTCACGGATATATCAGGGTATTCATCGGATGCCATTTTACTTTTCCTTTAATTGTAATGTGGGGTATATGATTGTTTTCCCGCAACAAAGTAAGGGAAATAGAATGACGCTGCATGCCTTTCTCTGTCTGTCCGTCTGTTTGTCTGTCCGTCTGTCTGGTTATCCAAAGCCGTCCTCGCCCGTTATTTATTCTTTCTGACCGCCTATCAATCAGCCCGCCCATCTTTCAAGGTGATTGGCTCTGCCGTTAGAAAAATATTCAGTGGTTCTCTCATCGTCTCTTTAAGTTTAATGGTTTTTAAATGCTTCATATACCTACTGTGAACATGTGCAGTGCTTCATTGCCTATTAATTTTTCAGTTACAGCCATGTTGTGTCTTAATAGATTTCTGTTTGTAAACACACCTGATCCCATTTATTAACGCGGTGATACGGTGTGCCGCAGCTTTTGAGCTTGCCACGTGCATTCTTCCTTGTTAAATCACTACTGACTGTAACTGCCAAGAATTACAAAAGAAGAAAAAAAGCAGTGGGTAAACATAGTTAGTGGAAATCAAGCTGACAACGATACACAATAGTGCGTAATTGTAGCTTCAATCCGCTGTTGTAATTCCCAATGAAAACTAAGTCAACTGTCAGACCTCCATGTTGAGGGGAGGTTCTTACCAATTTGGCCCACGGGGCGTTGATCAGGTACCACTTCAAAAAATTAAATGAGGTCGTGATGAGATCTAAATAAAACCGAACTTCTCGAAGAATTTGCCCAAAGGTACCCACCAAAAAAGTCAAATGTGAGTGTGTAGAATCTAAATTAGACTCGAATGTAAGGTTTCCCAAAACAATGCTGTTTCATTTGGTAATCATGATGCTGAAGCTCATGTTTAAAAAAAGGTAGAGTGTGCTCTTCATGAATTGTGTCATCAGAGAATGGCACATGGCTTTACAAGGTTAGATACTCTCCGAAGTCTTTCCTTATTTACCATCCATTGTACCATGGTGGCAAAGTTGGGCCATTTAAGGGCCGAACCAAAATTTGAATAAGCTAACAGAGCGAGAAAAAATTGTAAAACGTTTCATCGTATAGCAGTAGACGTTAACACTACTGAGTAAGCGGGAAAATCATTTTATGTGATAAACATGCCAGCAAAGACATTACAACCCAAAAGAATCAAGTCAAACATGATTTTGCAGAAAGAGTTGATTTACAACTGGTACTTTTTATAACTGAAAAGGATTAAAAGGTCATTATTTAAGTCACGGAAAAAAATTACGGTAAAAACCAAGTGCAAAACGCTTCCGACACGTCAATGGGTAACCGCATGTCTGTGACATTCAACAGAAAATTCAATCATTACTTAAATCATTTAAATTAGTCTCTGGTTTCCCGCAGGTGTCTTCGTTTATGGTCGGGTTACTGTTCCCTGTTATGATTTGCTTTTATTTAAAGTTCATATCTATCTATGCCGCGTATTCCCAAATGCAGCAAAAAGGGAGTTTTGCTGCTAATGCTTACAAAGATCCAGAACATGACCAGACTAGAAATTGAACACAGTTGAAAACAAGAAAGAGCACGCTGAAAGTCTGGGTGTAAATTCAATTCCTGAAACAAACTTGCAACCGAAGTGAGAGTGAGTAACAGTCCACTCTGAACCTGAATTAAAGATACTTTGGACTTCATTAGTTTGGGGGTTGTTCCATCTTGAAACGTTTCCTAAGCAAAATACTAAAAGTAGTCGATTAGTTTATACACGTCTTATTTATACAAATGGTTCTTAAGAATACTTATATCCTAATAGGAAGGGAATAAAGCACAGACCTGATGGAAATTCTGTCTGACAATCCGAAAAAAAAAAACTAAATACTGCTTCCCTGTGTGTATGTTGTTCTGTTACTTTTTGTTGCTGTGAGATTTTTGATAGCGACTGGTGGTGGGGTAGGGAGAATGAGATGGAAAGCTGACCGCGAAAATGTTTAAAAAACATCGGCAATAACGTGACGCAGTATTGAACTTTTCGCCTCTTAGATTATGTAAGCTTAATTCAATTTACTGTTTCGACCACCCATCATTTTCTTTTTCGTTGTTTTCTCAGTAATTCAGCATAGAGAATAATTCATTACACAAAACGTGCTGGTTGTTTGCCTAACGTTTCGCTTTCTTTTCAGCTTCCGTGTATTCCATTTACTTTCATTTTTGTCATCCACCTTTTTCTCTTACTCCTTCCCATAAAAGATGACTTAGCTCAACGAAGCTCATTCTTAATTCAAGTTTACGTATACAGTCGTATGTAAACCTTGCAATCTGGACGTGTTCAGTTTCATTTAACGCAACAAACATGATTTCTGGTGTTTTTTTTCCTCTCCATCCCAGTCGCTTTTTTCTTCTTATATTGTATAATTCAAAAAACTGAAAATAGAGACCGGCATAAGGTTCAACAGAGTAAGAGCTCAAGAACACGAGACTACTGAATAGAGTCGAATGTAATGAATATTAAGAACCCAGTGAAATCTGTGGGGGTAAATGTCATTAACAAGCCAGAGACGGTTGATTATTGGAAATCGTGTGAAATTACAAAAGTTGGCAACCGTGTAAATCATTTTTTGCAGTGTTAATACCTGGTTTAGATGACGCCAATCTGCTTCTTTTATCACACTTATAAGTGGTGATGTAGTATTTCAGGATTTAACTTCGAATTTTATGTTCTATCAAAACAGAGACTTGATACCAACCTTTCATTGAAAAACCTGAGCGGTTCGTTGTTTCCTAATATTGTCTCCGGGGCTTTAGTGTCAATTTATTTGTCACAATGGTGCGCAAAACAAGTGTCAAGTATTGCCTCTTAAAGTTTAAATCCCCCCAAAAATACCATTATTGTCATAGACGAGGCATTTGTTTCTATTAAGTAAATGTGAGCGATTGAGTTTCTGTTTTGCGATACTGATCAAATTTGGACAAGTCATTTCTCCGCCACATTCAATCAAATTGACATAACCCGCCCTAGGAATAAGGCGGTTATTTCATGATTGTCATTATGTATTTCTTACCCCGGGATATTAGATATGTTTGATGAAAGAAGTGCCTTCTAAGTTTGCTGAAGAATAGAATAGATTAATGAAAATATTACAACTGTGAGCATGAGATATTGTAGAATTTTGACAGTCTCTTGTTTTGTCAACCCCCAGTACAAAAACAAGTAGTTAAAATACGTGAATATTTAAGCCGCTTTCTTAGAAATACCCTACAGTAATGTAATTGTTTCTTACGTCATTAATGTGTGCGTGTCACTGTAAGACTGGTCTTTGACAAGTGGCAGAAGTTTGGTGGGATTTATACTTCTTGCGGGTCTTCAAGGGTGCTCCGAGAAAGAGACTGTACTTAAGATACTTAATCGTGCAAAATTTTCGGTCTTATAATTTAATCAGGTTTGACAAGGTGTGGGGTAGGGTTAACTTAAACATGGTAGTTTAAGATAAATCTTTTAAAATTTAACTATGTTAAAATGTTCGGAAAATTACAAATTTTCAGCTGAAAAAGTGCACTAGATTTCTGTCGTCTGTAGGTCAACTGTGTAAAGCTACGAATCAGACACCATTTATGTTATACCTGAGAAAAGCAGGCGGGTCAAAATAAAAGACGAGTGCTTTCACCTCACACTTACACCTTCAATCAAAACCCATAGACAATAGGAGTGAGAGAAATGTGGCTCACACATGAGTGAATGTAAGCTCAATTGAACGGTTTTGTTGTATAAAAAACTTGCAGTGGAATTTCCTTCTGTAACCCCATACGTCTTGGGGTTAAGATGTTAAAGTTATCCAGAGAAATTGCATATATTTATAACTCAAAGCTCACAAACAGACAAACGCGCGTTAGTGATTGGTTGTAAAGATAAGCAAGGCAATGAAGTACATATATTCATTGATGTTTACTAAAGGGAGTGCGATGTGATCTTTATTCAGCAAATGAATCGTAAAGGAGGAAGGGACGGAAACGCCAGCGTTTAAGTTAATGCACCACCAAGTTTGGTAATGCTTTCAAAACACAGTCAAATAGTTATGGGCAGTCATTGTACGTGGCATTTGTCATCTTGACGCTCGGTTCAAAAGCCCAGTCACTTATCAAGCGCCTTTTCCCAAATCATCACAAAGATGGATAATGCCTTATTTTTGAATGGGGACAATCTAATCCAATGGCAGGTTAGATTGCGTCGTTCGCGTGACTGGGCTGAGTGATTGTTTAGAGCTCACCTTTGACTTTCACTCTCCACTCTGATGTCTGACTTCCAGTCTGAAGTTATCAATACATCAGAACTAAGGCTGACTCCAAGGTCAGAAAAGTTAAGGGCATAAGGGTAACCGCATTTTTCTATATGATGAAATAGCATTTATGATGATTTGTTAAGCCAGTTGATTTTATCACCCTAATTCCTCGGTCATGCACTTAATGTCGTTATCGTCACTAGACTTAATGCATACAGTTTTCCAAATGAGTTTCTGCATTTGATGAAATAGCAGATTTTATGGAAAGTGCACACCCTCAAATATGGAGATTTTTGCGTTACGCTGGTCCTTTGGGATCCATTTTTCGGAAAAATAATGCACGCCTTGGGTGCGCTCACTCCTTTTAGTCCGCTCCTGCATTAGAAACCTCAAACCAGTCGTCTACTTGCTTTCTTAAATATCCCAAACATAGACATTAAGTCAAAATGTTATTCCTTAAAATTTGATTATTTAGGGGCGCTAACATTCGGACAAGTCAAATCGCTTGTGATATTTGTTTGCTCTAGCTCTGGTTCTAAGGTAGTATGGAGCGTCGAAGTCTGAAAAGGTCTGTGAAAAATGACCATATCATAAAATACCAGTGTGTATCGAAATCGTTATACAATCGTCAAAACAAACATAACACTGCTGGCTAATGCTACGGCAGACAATTCCGTGCTTATGATTGCCTGTTCTTTAAGTTGCTAGTAAATTATATCAAAACATTAGTTAAACCTGCCGCCACATTATTTGACACTTCTCATCTTACTGCACGCTGTTACGTTGGGGTATAGAATTAAAACACATATCCTTCAACCTATCTCTATACTTCTGGATGCATATCTATACATTGCTTCTGGAGCTTATCTCTGCCAATCTATTTCACAATTCTGAATGACATCGATTCCACTGCCTGCGGCAGCGTAAAATTTGAAATAAAAGATCGAAATTAAATGAAAACAAATCTTTAGCATTATTACTCAACAATACATACTGTCATAGGTTACTCCCTATCCCCTTAAAACCGTGTGCAATATTTCAAATTATGGGCATTACATGATACGTAGTGAGTGTGATCTTCAAAAGTAAAAAGAATAAATCTTATAAAAATGTTGGATTTTTTTCCATATTACAACGAATTCATCCACTCCATTTACATTTTCGTTTGAAGCTTATATGATAATGCGATTATCTTTAAGTGAAATGTGAGCACGTGTACCCCTTGAATTCGCTACAGATGTACAGTGCTGCCTTTTTGTGATCAGATGGAAGGAAAAGGGAAAAAATCAAACCTAAGGAAAGGGCTACTCACAGGGTGTTCGCTGGAAGTAAGAGTACCCATGGTGTCGCGTGGAGGTGGGCGAAACCACGAGGAGGAGAACCAGGCTCACGGAGAGCAGTCTCATTACCATAGCCATAGTGGGGGCATTCAGTCCTCCTGCCATTCTGAAAGAAAAAACCTCTGCAAATAAGCTTAAGAGAATAACGGTCCATCACCTGATGGCTATAAAAATGGTCGGTGTTATGCCATCATGACCAGGCATTCACAGAAGTCAAATGTGTTTGATCAGTTTACACAGTACAATGCACTGGTATATTGATATGACCCCTCAGTCATATGTTTTTGTCCCGCCAAATAAATGAAAAATGTTATTTTGTATGTTACGTACTTGTATTACCTGCAAACGTGTAACATAAGCTTACTGTGAAGATCACATACAAGAATTCGATATTACTTGGGTCGAGGGATCGACAAATAACTGACTCGTCAGTACATCTGGGGACAAGTTCGATCACCCCGTAGAATGGAGGCGGCAACGAGTATGCTTTGTATACCCCGCCGAGATCAAGCCCTCCTCTTCCGAATGAATGTCCGTCTTACTCTTTCATGCTACATTACTTTGAACTGAACGAAAAAAGTGGCACTTTCTACTTGGTTAATTCACAGATATGTAAACAGCTAACAGAGAAATGAGTGGAGGCCTCTTCGAGTTGAAAATATACAGGTTTGGAGCGTTTCCTGATGCATCGGTAATCGTAAAGTGCTTTTAAATTCGATTGCATTTACTTGTCCTCCACACATTTAGTAATTTGCTAAGCGTCCGCAGCTTTTGCAAGAACGTTTAGTAATCTGTTGATACTGGATCTCAACCAACAAAACTTACTACGAATAACGTCAACCACTTAGGCCTTGCACAACACGTAATAATTGAAACAAAACTGCATTGCGCTCACAGATGATCTTTCGCAAACTTATTCGTTTAAGGCGAGAAAATGTTGTTTTGACTAGTTTACTCAAATAAAAAAGAAAAAATGAGGTTGATGAAATTTTTCTTTTCCGTTTTTCGCATTCGTGCAGAAAGTCAACTACGCGAAATGCATACGTTCAGCGTACCAACCAGACAATAGACTTCTTAACACACCTTTCTGAATCATAAAATTATCCATATCTCATTTTAACCTACGATAGTATAAAATGGAATTTTTTTAAATCTCCATTCGTGCAGAACAGAATTGTTAGTCTAACGCTTTTTTCTTTTTTGTAAATAACAACATCTTTCATATTCCCGTCCGTACAATTCTAAATATCTAAAATCTAAAATCTACTTCGCCTACCTTTTTAGAGGCTTTCTTCACAAGTTTGAAAAACTCCGTCCTGTTGCCTTCCCTTCTCTTGGTCCTCTGATCCCGAGCCTCTCTGACTCTCTCTTTCCTACTCTCGCACCTGCGCAAATGTTCGCCTCAAAGTGGGAGTGAGTAGCTCGTCTGTATCATGCCTTAACTGCAGACCCTCAGGCTTTAGAAATATTACCCTGTTCAAATTACTTACGAACTGTTTTCGGAGAGAATAAAAAGGCGATAGAAAAGAAGTCACGTAAAGACCAAGACATCAATTCCGTTGCAATGTTGACTTTTCCGTGTATGATTATTGTAAGTTAAACCTGCCGTCTCGCACAGGCCAATGCTGTAAGATGCTGCTTAGAAAAAATCCTAAAGGCACAAGAAATTGCATGGAAGAAAAAGCTTGTATGGTAGTGAAGTACACAGTTCCACCCCAACAATACAAATATAATTCCCTAACACATACCAGATCGCTAGAAAATCACTAACATTCGCTGCTTTTATTGCATGAAATGTAACAACTTTCACTCGTAATTGGAAGCAAATTAGGCGCGACATTTGTGGGTGATTATGCCAATTTCAATCAACCACTATTGGTACAAGTGTCTAAAGTTTTCAGTATTTTGGTTGTGGCAGAAAGTTCCAGGGCAATCGCTGAGTATTATGAGAAGTTGAACGGTGGTCGTAAGGGGAATTCCTTTGCTTGATATAAGGGAAATCTGTTGCGGTTTTTCACTTCCGTCTGTACAAATATTATGATCCAGTCTATACATTAATGCAGTTAGTGACGTAAATTCTGCTTCGACAATTAAAGAGCAATCAATCCTCACGGTGTAAGCTGCCACTGGAAATAAGTCACCCAAGCTGTTGAAATCATCCAAAAGAAAAACTTTGAAGCTCAACGAATGGTAGGAGAATCAGACCGAATAGAAATAGAATAAATGAGTGGAAAATAAAGATCTTTCATTTAAAATTGGAAGAAATAAAGTATAATCCTGTCTCTCTATCAATATCGTTTCCCGCGCCCTTTCACGTGCACACGCACAATTACACCTCACTTCTGCTAACTATTACAAAAAACCCACTGTGACACCCCAGCTCGGACAAGTTAATTTCTCAGATGTATAGATTGTGAAATAGCTTGTGTATGAATTACCTCTGGCTATCGGGCACACTTCACTGAGCCTTGATAATTTTGCTTAATCAAGCCGATCATACTTTTATGATCCTTTATCTGTTTGTACGCGTTTGCGCTTAAGGGGGCTTCGCGTGTGAAGGAGAAACTAACATGGTGTAAGATGTCTTGTTTGAAAATAGAAATTAACCCTGAACAAACATTTGGATTGGATTTTGTGTAGGGTCATAGGTGTTGCTTCGGGCCTGGGTACAATGGTTACAGGTAAGTTCAACGGCTCCCGTTCCCGTGGGCCATCTGAATGGGAGGAAAAAGGTGCAATTGAAATGGTTTCAGTGTGCGAGCGTTAAAACGTTCTGTTCCGGGGCAGACAGTTTTGTGTCTGACACAACAGTAGCATTTTCGAGGGGGAAATAGTTGGGTCAACAAAACAAAAGGGCTCTTTTCCTTTGCTCCCAGTCAATGGAACAGTGTGCGTCGTGTCCTCTTGAAAAAACTCCTCAGCAAATGTTCAGTTGATTTACTTTTTTCTAATAGGATACGTCTTCATAATGCGCATGGGTCTGGAAATTAATGGCTATCTGAAAGCCTTTGACACAGAGGTCGTTTGTTAATAAAAAAATCCTTACTAAAAGCCTGTCTGCATAGGAACTCAACAAAAATGTTAACCATTTAGTTTTCATTTTTAGACCCAATCCCAGTGCGTCTTGAGAGACTGATTTTTCAGCAACACAAAAAAAGTTGAGAAGGTGTTGGTATCAAACACAATAGTCAGTAATCGATCCCGGGTAACCGTCTGGCTATAAAAAATAATAGATACGGTGACACAGGTCGAGCTTCCGTCTGCGACAGAATTTTCTTCATGTTCTGCTTATGTGGTTGTGAAAGAATCCCCATTGAGACTAACATTGCCAGTGACAATAGTGCGTTGAGGACAGACAGGTTAGCTGTTATAGAAGAGGGTTAGGATGCGTTAGAAAACATACACAAGAGGCGGGAGGTTTTTAACTTAACTGATCACAATCTTTACGAACTCTGAATCTTTACAACATATCATTTGACATATTCAGTATTGTAATATCTCATTGAGAGATTCCGCCTGGGGAGTGATGTGAAGAAAATTTAGTTGTGCACATTAGCACTACCCCCCCCCCCAAAAAAAAAAAAAAAATTATTTACTAAAAAAAATAAAATAAAATAAAATAAAATAAGATAAAATAAATATGTACCGGCAGACAAAATCAAAGGGAGATGCAGAGATAGATCTAGCATTTCTTTCAACTCAACTTAATAGAAGTAGTGCCCACGGCCCGCTCCCACGCGCACACAAACATGTACCTACACACGCACACACCCATGCAAGCACCCATGTTCACACTCACATAAACGCGTACGTACGTACGTGCATGCATGTGTGTGTGTGTGTGTGTGAGAGAGAGAGAGAGAGAGAGAGAGTACTTTTCAATCATTTTATTTGTCAACCTGAATTTGAATTCTCGCCAATACTGTCTAGATATTATCCCTGGGGCGTTTTGTGATCAATCACACATTTTTTCCAAAACGCCCTTCGCAAACCTACCCCCAGACGTCTTTGAGTGGAACGTCTTCCGATTTCTCAATGTAAACGATATTGATTAGTTTTCTGTAGTATTTAATACCATAGACAGGTGGGGCCTGATTTAACCCAAGACGATTCGTTTTTAAAGTCATTCATTATTTTTTAATGCTTTCCTTCTGTTGTCATATGTAGTGTAGTCGTTGTAAAAACATCTTTGGAACATTGCTATCTGTATAAGTTAAAGCAATTATTATGCTTAATTTATTTTGGGGCATACACAGATAAAAAACCTAGCAGTGTCATATTTTAATAATAATAAATTATACATATCACTTACAAAAGGGCTTCTACCGTGTACAATGCTGTAATAATACATTATTGTTAACAATAATAATAAGGAGTTTAAGCTGGTATGTGTTCAGCTCTCATTTTGGAAGCAGAGTATACTAAGTTCGGTTATTATATTAACAGGTCCAAATTATCAGTCTACATTTATTGCATAAAGTTATTTTGTGACCTTTTTATAAGTGAATATTGAAAGGGGGATATGGACAAGACTTATGACTTGTAAATTTGACGTCTATTAAGTAGACTGAAGTAGTGTTGGTTTATGTCGAGAGAGGATATAGAAGAGACTGATCCCCGTTCACAGCAATTTATTAGAACCTTCTGCTTCTGGGCAATTACACTACTGAATGCAACTTGATCCTTTTCATAACGCTCGACGCACAGATAAATCATTATACAAAGCGCTTTTCTGTCTCTTCTGTCCCCATCTGAAGCGGTTTAATGATCGTCTGTTGACTTTCAAGAGTCTTATACGATTTTGGAATTCTACTATTTACTTTTTGACCACGAATCGCGTGGTATGCTTGCGGAACGTGAGCGAGCACAAAGGCTTGTGGTTCATGTAGTAGTTATGTTTGCAAACATTCTGCTTTATTGTTATTTGATACCAGGGATATAATAACTTTGAACCGAAACAATGAGCTGACTTTTTGTATTTGGAGCGATACCCGATTGATTTAGTCTTGGATATGATATTGAACTTATGCTTTTTAGTCTAAGGCGAACCATAATGACTTTTCTTGTTGAATTTGACGTTTTAGAAACACGTGATTGAATTTGGTGATCGAATGAGTCTGGAACGATGCCCTGAGGCTTAATATCCGGTGTCACTTTCTGAAACACTCTACTGACTTGAAGTTTTAACTTTTTTACTTAAAAGTACACGTACATGTAGGATAGACAAGAAAAAAATCAAAAGCAAAATTCAACTTCTTCATTGAAATATGTTCGCCGGGAAAATGATGTAAAAATGTAAAAACTTGGGGAAAATAGGAGAATATTCGAATTAATCTATTTGAACGATAATTTTTAAATTTACGCTACTGATTTAAGTGGTGGAGCTGATACAGAGTTTAAAGATGGTCTGAATCATGTTTCAACTGTTTCTCAGTGTAGGCCTTACATGTAACTCTGTTAATCAAAAGTTATATTAGTCTGATAGAAACAATGGGCAGCTTGCAACCCCGTGGAAAACAATGGAAATGAATATTTTCTAATCTTTAATGTCTAATGTTTAATTTTTAATTTCTATGTGCTTCCAGAGCAATAAAAATGCCCCATGGGAGTTCATTTTAATGTTCTCCAACACCCTGTGGCTGACGTGGGTGCAATTAAAAATAATGGTAGTAAAATAAACAAATAAAGTTTATATTGATATGATAATATTTTAAATTGCAGGCTCTTCGGGCGTACCAAAAGCAGCGTACTATATATATATTACAGCGCAATCTTCGCAAGAATCCGTTTGAACCTATTATTGGTATTTATTTAAAATATTTTATCTGCTTTTCTTTTTTTTCTTCTCTTGTTCTTAACTTCTTTTTTATCATTATTATCAGTAAGAGTAAGATTCCAGATGGGTCCATGCCACTCGCTAGAGAAAATGGACAACCGAATTCCCTCTGCAATCCAACCCAATGTAGTGGATGTAGATAAAGAACATAGCGGTGTGGGGCGGTGCTATCAAGTGCCTACTTCCAGGAGTTAGAATATAAGCGGTATTTCTTAAAACCGCTCTGAACACGGACAAAATTGTTACATGCCCACTCACTCAATCGTATATGTAGGCCTATTTCTCTAAAGTCGATCACAATTTAGCAATTTGAAATGCAGTTGTGTAAGCGCCATCGAATGAAAAAGTTAAACAGTCATTATGGTTACCGTGTGTTGCGTCTGCCCGTGGACGTCTGCGGGCCTTAAAAGGTTTTTAAGAAAGCAGATGTAATGATCGAATGGTATTTAAAGATAATTGAATGTTGTTGTTGTGGGGAGGAGTTAATTAGTAACAAGGGTCATGTGACCAAATGCCATATTTGTTGACGTAAAACGTAAAATTAAGACAGATAAAGTAGATTAAAGGTTTTGGTTGAATTCCATAAAATTACAATTGCACCAATGTACTGAAATAATGGTGCCTGTAAATGTAGGCGTAGTCGCATCGTCAAAATCCCTGTAGGCACAGGTACGGCATTTCTTATGTAAACTGAGCTATTATATCATCCTATAGAAGAAAACTTGTATGAAGTATTTCACCCTCCGTTGTTATGTTAGCCTTTGTTGTATTCTTCTTTTTTACATTTGAAAAAAGGGTCTCTCTGCCTTGGTATTTGTTTTGTGTCTACGGAAAGAAAGTAATTGAAAACGTTTAATATGACAGTCAGTGTCAAACCTGGGGCAGCCCATAGCCAAAGGCGCTGGTTTCTTCAGGCCACACTTCTAAAGACGAAGTTGACTTTTTAAATGGACAACTACACGGGAATGAAAACATAATACGGGCTATTTGAACTGTAATCTGGACTAAATTTGATTTAACTTTAGGCCTATTACGTACTCGTGACTATTATCATTTGTGAGGCAAGTTGGCCTCAAACAATGCATTTCTGGTATGTTCGACATTATCAATTTTATTTTTAATGATTTAACTAAAACAATAGCGTATAACTTAATTAAATAGTGATTAAAATCACTGTTGTCGTGCAGAGGGACAATTACAAGGACATGCTTGGTAAAATGGGGGCGTCTCGATAGTCCGAAGGTTCATTGGTCCGAAGGTTCATTGGTCCGAAAAACGGTAACATTTTCATCGGTTTTTTAATCAAGGGTTCATTGGTCCGAAGGTTCTATAGTGAACATTCGGACCAATGAACCTTCGGACTAATGAACCTTCGGACTATCGCTACGGCCCCGGTAAAATAGTGCGACAATGAGTTTTTAAAAGTATGATAATCTACTGAATAAAATTAATTCATTGTGGTTGCATTGGAGGTGTAGTTGTTTTCATTTTCATGTACGTCCCAGTGATAAGACTGTTAACAAGAGTTACGGTAAAGACTCGAGATTTTCAATGGGGAATTTTTTTTTTACAGATACTGTATTTTAACATTTTCATTAAGTGGTAGCAATAAAATTGAAAAGTATGATATCCTATAGTTCTTCCTATGCAGTCAAAGAACCACAAAGGCTATGACAAAATGTTTTAATGATTACAAACTTATATATCTGAAAGATTGATAATCCCGTCTGAACGTTAGTCCATTTCAGCCGTTAGCTTTTCTTGACATATTGCGCGCTCTTTCATATTAGGAGAATGAGAAATGCATGTGCCTAATTTCGTAGTGATGTTCTAGTCGGTAGTTTTATTTACAAAATATAGTTTAATGATTTCTGTTCTGCTTGTTACCTTGTTACTTGTACATGTGGACTATGGGCGAGGAAATGAAAAGAGGTATGCGCATTATTATATAGTTTATATGTCATTAAAGCTGGACTGAACTTGTCGACTCTTATGCCGTATGGAGTTGCTGAAGCATGCACGAAGCAGAGTCAGAGCGGTACTCGAGTCAGAGGGAGGTTTCCACCAAAAAATTGGTTCTGAGGGTGTGACTGAAATGCGCAATACACTGCAATACAGCGCAACACAGCGCAATACACTTGATAACACAAGTCCAGTTGCAAGTAAACACTTCCCTTACGAAAATTTCCTATAGGATCCTATAGGATTCCTATAGGATCCTATAGGAATCCTATAGGATCCTATAGGGCACCTTTCCTATAGGATTTCCTATAGGATCCTATAGGAAATTGTTGTAAGTTAAAATCTTGAGAAAAATACATATCTTATAAACAAATATCTTTCTAAACAAAAGATATTTGATATAGGTCAATTTTAGCAGTGGAATTGTCAATTATATATCACTGTTAAAACAAAAATGCTTTTTATTGTTTATAATGCACAGTCTTATAGTCATCTATAGGATTCTATAGAAATTCTTTAATTTCTACTTTAAAGAAATCTTGAAAAATTGATCATTTGTAAAGTAATCTTTTATGGAGAAATATTCTATCATTAGGAATGTTTTTGTACCAAATCATTGAAGCTGAAATTATTTTTTAAAATTTATGTTCAGACCATTACAAAAATTCCTATAGGATCCTATAGGAAATTTTACAGGATCCTATAGGAAATCCTATAGGAAATCTTATAGGATCCTATAGGAAATCCTATAGGAACCTATAGGAATTAAATCCTATGCTTATTCATATAGGAAATTTTTATAAGGCCGGGTTGAATGAAAAATAATGAATCTGGTCTAAATATCAGTATATAATTTTTATTTTTAATTTATGTTCAGACCATTACAAAAATTCCTATAGGATCCTATATTAAATCTTATAGGAATTTCTATAGGAACCTATAGGAAACCTTATAGGAATTTCTATTTGAACCTATAGGAAACCCTATGCTAATTCATATAAGGAATTTTTATAAGGCCGGGTTGAATGAAAAATAATGAATCTGGTTAAAATATCAGTATATGATTTTGATTTTTAATATATGTTCAGAACATTACAAAAATTCCTATAGGAACCTATAGGAAATCTAATGGGAATTTCTATTGGAACGTATAGGAAATCCTATGCTAATTCATATAGGGAATTTTTATAAGGCCAGGTTATATGAAAAATAATGAAACTGGTCTAAATATCAGTATATAATTTTTAATATATTTTCAGACCATTACAAAAATTCCTATAGGATCCTATAGGAAATCTTATAGGAATTTCTATAGAACCTATGCTAATTCATATAGTGATCTTTTATAAAGCCGGGTTGAATGAAAAATAATGAAACTGGTCTTAATATCAGTATATAATGTAATTTTACTTTTTGTGTGATCATATTCACTTACTTCATATTTCTTCTATTATATTGAACGNTACCTTTAACCAAGGAGTTATAACTCCTTGCTTTAACATTTTCATTAAGTGGTAGCAATAAAATTGAAAAGTATGATATCCTATAGTTCTTCCTATGCAGTCAAAGAACCACAAAGGCTATGACAAAATGTTTTAAACTTATATATCTGAAAGATTGATAATCCCGTCTGAACGTTAGTCCATTTCAGCCGTTAGCTTTTCTTGACATATTGCGCGCTCTTTCATATTAGGAGAATGAGAAATGCATGTGACAAATTTCGTAGTGATGTTCTAGTCGGTAGTTTTATTTACAAAATATAGTTTAATGATTTCTGTACTGCTTGTTACCTTGTTACTTGTACATGTGGACTATGGGCGAGGAAATGAAAAGAGGTATGCGCCTTATTATATAGTTTATATGTCATTAAAGCTGGACTGAACTTGTCGACTCTGATGCCGTATGGAGTTGCTGAAGCATGCACGAAGCAGAGTCTGAGCGGTACTCGAGTCAGAGGGAGGTTTCCACAAAAAAATTGGTTCTGAGGGTGTGACTGAAATGCGCAATACACTGCAATACAGCGCAACACAGCGCAATACACTTGATAACACAAGTCCAGTTGCAAGTAAACACATGAAAGGGTAATCTCAAATAAAATAGGGGGATATAAAAGCAAAATATAGTACATAGTAATAAATATTGCTGATACAACTTGACAATTTTTTTATTGTTTGGTCAGCCGCCATGTTGGCGAGTAGCTCTTCTTGGCCAGTAATATATCCAAGAAGAGCCACTCGCCAACATGGCTGCCAACTGGACAATATAAAAGTCTTGCTGATTTGTTAAGTTATATCAACGATATTACTTACCTAGTAATATAGGTTGTTTTTATATCACCCTACTTTGCTGGGAATGGTCATTTCTTTAGTGTAATTGAAACTGGATTTGATTTTTGAAGTGTATTGCACTGTGTTGCGCTGTATTGCGGTGTATTGCGCATTTCAGTCACACCGCCTTAGTAGCACGAAAATTCATGCGTTAGCACTCCTATTGACGATTCTGATATGTACTGTTAGCATACACCCCATTTCCATAGATTTTTAGATCGATCTATCCCTGTGGGGAGTCTCACTAGATTACTGTCAGCTTGGCCGGATTAAGTGTCTGTCCCGCCTACTAAAAGCTGTAAGGGGGTAATTAACTATGGTGCCCGCTCGGCTGACTGCAATTTAGCGTGAACCCCCAAGGAGTTAGGTCGATCTAACCTGCGTAGCATGGCTAATTGTCTTGTGATGGTGTTGATATCTTTACCAGTCTATGTTAGTTTGTGATGCACCATGATTTTTATCATTCCAGCTGCGAGTTTAGGGTACAAGTACTGAACAGTGTAGAAGTGGCCAACTCCCCATTTGTGAGTCCTCCCATCATCACAGATGTGAATGGGGATGGCCACAATGATATAATAGCCAGTGCTTTCACTGAGGCAATTACTGTGATAGATGGGAAAACTGGACAAGTTCTTGGGGATTCACAGTGGCCCTTTGCCTTAAAAGAATCCTCAGTTCATTCAAGTCCATTGCAGGTAAAACTGATGAAACTGTTTAACAAAAGTGATGTTTAAATACAAAAGATTATTAGAAATATTATTATATGTCAATGATAACTGCTTAAAGAGAGAAAGAAAAATGCAGTAATAATGAAATGTAGAAATCTGGTGCAACATACTGCACAGCTGAATGCAAAACCAAAGCTAAACCAGTTTGTCGTGAACATCCATTGTTTTATATTATGTCATGGCCTATATATTTTACATTTCAATAGTATGATATAGATGGTGATGGAATGTTGGATATCCTCATTGTGACATCAGATGGAGAATTCAAGTTCTTTCAGCATAATGGTGTTCACCTTATAGATAGGGACTACAAAGTAAGTCACATTTAGTTTAATTGAAAACCTTATCTTGTAACTGTATACTGTTGAAGTTATACTTTGAATTTTTCTTTGAGTAATGATGCACAATGCTCGCAGCATCAGACCTCTATGATTTTTTCATTCTGTCAATCAATTTTTTTTCAAATCGAAATTTAATCCAAGCTCTGACTGTGTTTTGTCTTGTGTTATCCAGCTGCCCCCTGTTGGTGTGAAGAGACACTGGTACAAGGAAAACATCTCTGTAGATCATAATGAAGTTCATAAATATGTTCTGGATTATGAAGAACTGATGTCTGGAAAGGTTGGTATTAGAGTGACGGTGTACTAGGGAACACTTGGTGATAATGTGTTTAATCAAAGGTTGAAAATTTCATTAAAATTTTAAAAGAAGAACAAACTTATTGTGCAGATACACTATTTTGAATGCTTACTGAATCAGATCAAATATTTAAAAAATTATTAAAATTTTAAAAGAAGAAGAAACTTATTTTACACGTACACTATTTTGAATACTAACTTAATATTGATGTCCTAATTTGCCAGTAAGTTCTATAAAGCATCATGTTATTTAACAGTGGCTGTTTTGTTCCAAAACAGGACTATAAAGATTATGTGAGTGTGGATCCTCATGTTCTTGCCACCCCTGTGATAGCAGACCTTGATCAAGATGGCAACATGGAGGAGCTTGTGATACCTGTCAGCTATTTCTTTGATCAGGAAGAATATCTGTAAGTGTGATTACAGTTCTGCTGGTTACATATTTGTGATTTGTTATTTTCTGTGTACATTGTTATAAAATTTGTAAATGTTAGTAAGTACAGGTGTAGGTTATAACCTTGTGATTGTACATTTTATACAGAGAGTTTCTTTCAGTTCATATTTTCAGACAAATTAACTTCTGTAAATAGAAAAAAATACCGAGTGTGTGATAATTATCTGCCCTCTTGGTTTTAAATTAAAACCTTTAGAAATATTTTTTAAAGAAATACTTCCTGATCATAGATGATAGAATCTTTCTTAACAGGGATTCCCATAGTCTTGATAAGCTTGGTTTGAACAGAACAGAGCTACGAGAATACCTGGTTGGTGGATTGGTGCTTTTTAATATGACAAGCCAGAGGGTTATGAAAACTGTATTGTTGGAACTTACTCCGGTAAATCATAATTTGTTTTGATTTTTCATAATGTTGGTTTCATTGCACTTCTCTTCAACCTTTTATGGTCTCTCTGATATGATAAGACTACCACTAGTTAGATGTATTTCCACCATGATTATATTTAATGTTAAGTTAATATACAATAAACTCTCCAGTGTACTTGCAGAAAACAGACACTTAAAGGACAACTCAGTGGGTTAGATTAATGTATAGAAGCAGGTTCGATGTAAAACTTTGATCAGATTTGTGTTTTGGGAGATTGTTTATTATTATATGAATAAGTCTGGGTCACAAAAGTCCTGTTAAGACAACTAGAATAAAGAATTAGAAAACGAAAACTATTTATCATGATTTCGGAGCACAGCCAGAAGTACTTCCGGCTCAAGGTCACGACCTCGATTTTCCCACGCTTACGACCAATCACAGCAGGCTTCAGTCAGAATGAGATAGACGTCACGACTACACAGCGAAACTTGTCAGACATGTAAGTGCCGCCTGTCCATCTTTTCGGTACATGTACCGATCAAAAACAGAAAACGTAAAGCCCAAAACGCTCTTATACACGTAACCAACTTTGTATGAGCACAAATATTTTCATTTATTGTGAACAGGATAATATGATAATCAGACACACTTGAGACCTGTGAAGCGCATACTCACGTGTCGAGGAGTAGTTTCGCCATTGCCTCCTAACTCAGCTTTAAGTGTCCTCCACCGCCCCACCTCCCTCCCAACATACACAGTCTGAGTGCTTCTTCGTCTGTCTCTAATTTTCTTTCGTATCTTTCGAACTGGAGTGGCTATTTTCTTTCGCCCCCTTTTGTCGCTCTCCTGTTCAGACTTGACGCGCGTCTGAGCCATGTTTGCTGTTTTGGCGCCAAATAGTAACATCCGGGTCTCAGCCGTAGTACTTCATTCATAGTAAACCGCGAGACTTAGCGAGAAATTGCGCGTTCTGAAGCCGTACTGTGAGGTGGTAGCTGAGTATTTAAGACGAGTCGTCTTTTATTATTTAATGGAACTTAAAAACGGTATTAGGTAGCTTCATTTTCTGAACGGTTTTGGATAGGATATACCTTGGTCATTATGGGGAAATTGGTGAGTTTTCCAGGAAAATTCATTTTCGTGCTATTTTAAGGGTTTAACGCGCTGAGACTGTCTTTAAGTTTCCTGAGGACTAATAATTGTACATATTATTAAAAAATTATGGTATGTTTTCTGGCAGATTTAAGAATAGGAAATAATTTATTATCATTTCAAGATAATGAGTGTAAAAAATTGAAAGAAAAATGAATGACTATTTTGCAATTTGAAAATATGGTTTTCCCGACAATTTTACAATAATGTTAAATCTACATATTTCAGTACACTTTTTCCAATGAATATGCTTACATAATTTTCAGGTATACAGTGAATTCCCTGCATACGTGCTGTTTTCTCCCACTGTGGTAGACTTGGACAGTGAGGGTGGAAAATTGGAGATAGTGTTCGGGACCTCTGTGGGCAGTTTGTATGCTTTAACACACACAGGAGAGACGAGAACAGGGTTTCCTTTAACTATGGACAGTATACATGGACAGGTATTTAATGAAAAACAATTTCATATTTTTACTGTCTGGGAAATGGATTTTAACTGCTTGGTTTTGAATCATGGAATGTCATAGCTCTTACCTATACATCATGTTCTCATCTGACTACGTACAGTTTAGTATTGATCAAACAGAATATTTCTAAATTTGTTATATTTATTTATCATACACAATTTTTTCACTTCAACAATACTTACAGGTGGCAAACTAGACATCACAGATATATACATTGATTCTTTAATTTCATTATCACAGATAACAGTAGAAGATGTCAACCTGGATAGCAAATTGGAAATGATAGCAGTTGACACCAGTGCCAATGTTGTCTGCTACAACAGTCTTGGTAAACAGCTGTGGGAGGTTCAGATTTCTGGCACATCGTCAGCAGGGTCACGCGTGGCAGACGTAGATGGAAATGGCAGGCTTGACGTGGTGGTAGCAACCAATGATGGGTAGGGTCTGCTGGTATAGTATGTAGAATACTTACTCATTGGCGTAGAACATTCAGTTTGCTTGAAGAAAAGTAAATGGCCTTAATGCCATTTCAAGAATTATTTTTTTTTTTGAATGAAAATGTCTTGTTATTTTAAAACAAGATAGAATGTGTAGCTGTTGAGATGGAAAATAGTAGAAGATGGGGGGGTAAGACTGTCAACACATTAAGAAATGTGACAACATTTGAACTTCTGAAAACTTGGTAAATAATTAGAATCTAGAATTCTTCACAATTAGACTTAGCTTTATAAAAGTGTTTTTTTTCACATAAGGCCTTATTTTCACATCCTAGGCCTTACAATGCTTGGCTAGTTAACCATGACAAAGGCTATCTGTTGACTGCAGTTGGTTTTAATACTTATTGCACCTTGTAGGAAAATTTATGTGCTTGAAGGAGAAAGTGGAACATTGCTGGAAGGTTGGCCAATCAAAGTGGCAGATAAGCTTACTGCAAACCCTGTATTTACCAAGTTTGCAGAGTCACAAAACCATGTGGATATGGTATGTAATATTTTTTGTTTATGTATAATTGTTCCAATTGTTGAATAATTACCTTTTTAATACCTTCTTATAGGTATTATGTGCTTTTGTGTGTTACTTGCATCTTTAAATTGGTAAAATTACACATTATATTTGTTAGTTTTTTTTAATGTAAGCAGTTTTTCTTCATACATAGAAATGTTGTCAGACATGCCAAGTGAGCAAGCAGACTATGAATTATGTGAAATGAATTCCTCAGTAAACCATAAATCCCCAGCAGGGTTGATGCACATTAAAAAATAGTAAAAAAAGAAATAATAATGAAATGTTTTTGTAATTTTGTTAATTTTCTTGAACAGTTAATCATGTCAGATGACGGAATGCTCCAAATCCTGAGTGGGGACAGAAGTTGCCAGCAGTCTCTACATCTGGGGGAGAAATCACTGATACAAGTTGTGTCTGGTAATCCTGACCGAGAGAAAACTGATCTAAACTATGTGGTGTCCACTACAGATGGGGCCTTAGTGTTTCTTAACATCACCAAGGCTGGGCATGCTGGGGTTCAGCATGTAGGGTTTGAGAAACAAATGCTGAGGACCTGGCCTTCAGAGACACTCGGTGGGAATGGGTTTACATTCAGAGAGCAAGCTGTAAGTTCTTTTTGGTAGTGATAAAAAGTTTTTAGTAATGCCAAGGGTGTGGATGGGTTTAGGATATCTTAGCTTGATTTAATTGTCTCTCATAAATTTTTGTTTGAGATATGATTCCACCCATTGTTTTGGCAATAGATACAAGTTTTAAAAGTTTATTTCTTTGAACATATTTTTGTTGGTTGATAGTGTTATAAAAGTATTTTTTATTATATAGTTAAAGAAATATTAATAAAAATGTTAATTAAAATGACAATTTTTATGTAATTTTTTGTTGGTGTACTAACTGCATTATTATTTATAGCATTTACATTTGATTCCAAATCGACATTGTATCTAAAAACAAGACAAGCCTGGATTTTCATATAGGGAATCCAAGGTCATCTAGGGCTTTCTATTAAACATATTTTTCGCTCTCTGTCTTTCACAGCTCAATGTCTTCTTATCCGAAGAAACCAGAGATTTACAAGAGTACTCAGGAAACTCACTTTCAATCACATTCCATATCATAGGAGGACAGAGGTACAGGGGAGATTACAATGTCAGGGTAGGTATTATCATAGGAGGACAGAGGTACAGGGGAGATTACAATGTCAGGGTAGGTATTATCATAGGAGGACAGAGGTACAGGGGAGATTACAATGTCAGGGTAGGTATTATCATAGGAGGACAGAGGTACAGGGGAGATTTCAATGTCAGGGTAGGTATTATCATAGGAGGACAGAGGTATAGGGGAGATTACAATGTCATGGTAGGTAGTTTTATAAAAGAGATAACAAAGTTATAATTTCTGTTCAATATTTTGAAAGAAAATTATGTATCTTTTCATTTCTGTTCCTTGAATGAAACTGAAATGAGTAAATTTTATTAAGTTAATTCCCAATGAAAAGTGAAAATTGAGAAAATGTTTGGTAAATGTCAGTAGAATCACACCTACCAAGAACTGTATTATGTATTATATGCCCTTGCTCTCCCATACATCAGTTTTGTTGGTAACATGCTGCATCTATGCATTTCAGAATGTATACTATATAATTGATAATCTCTTGGAAGTTTGATATACATTTCATCCATGTACTAGGTGTACTTTGGCAGCCATTACTGGTTTGAGCAGTCATTTACCAAAGAAGGGTTTTACACCATTGATGTTCCCACACCACGTATGCCTTGTTTAAGCCATGTAACAGTGCAAGTGACCAACAAACATGGACAAATAGCCACAGACTCTACAGTTATTAGGTAATCAATTTTATTTTTTCTTTATTAGACTTCTGATGGTTTGTGATGTTTATTTTTCTGCTGGTAGAATTGAAAAGATAGTAATTGCTAAATTGATATAAATTGAAATGAAACTGAAGTTTATAAAGTTGATTTGAAAAATAATAATTTTATATTTAATGATGTTCTTTTACAAAAAACGATTTCATCTTTTCATTATTTACAAATATTGTGTAAAAGTAGGATGTGGCAATATCACAAAATTTTAAGTAAAAAATCCTTTAAAATTGAGCATATTCTTATAATTTCATTCCAGATTTCACCAGATGTATTTAACAGATGTACAGTGGTTATTGTTTTCTCCGTTTGCTGCCACAATGGTCATCCTGCTGTTCCTTTATGGCTATCCTTCCACTGATGTTCTTCCACTGACCACTGGAGGGGACAAGAGCAGCTAAAGGGGTACACTTGGTGTTACTCTGTTACAGTGGCTAGATAAGAAAATACTGTTCATTGCGGGAACAGTAATATTGCACTAAAGTTAGGGAATCTGTAATAGTACTAGTAAGAGCACAGAGAGTCAGTTCTTGCATTTATAGTGCACTGCTTGAAGGATGTAGCTGTACAGGACGTGTGTAAAAAGACGTTATGAGCAATTTACTTGAGATGATAGATGCAATGAGAACAGATTACTGCTGTAGTAATGTGAGCAAGCTCCTCACAAAATCTTCACATATGAAGTTATGATACATGTCGATTGAATGCATTTTATGGAAATTGTGATTTTCTAAGAATGGATTCATATTTAGTATGTTGACTTGTTGAATGTCATCTGTAGCTGCAGTTGTGAGAGGGCTCTGCTTCAATAGTATATATAAGGGGCTCATCAATATATGTAGAGTGACTAATGTACTGAGCAAAGACTTGGTAAAGGGAAGCACAGTAAGTGTATGTGCAGGTAAAGAGCACTGGTTGTGGCTCTTATATATCCAAACTGCACATGAAATGGGTTAAGGTTTCACCTAACATGCAATTGATAATGACAGTTGTGGTAGTAGTAGGCAGTTGATTGTGGTAGTTGAGAACAAGCCATTGTGGCAGCTGTGCTAAGCACAATTACAAATTAAGTAACAGCAGTTCAGGTGTCCAGTGATTTCATTGTTAAGCAAAGACACAAGCGTAGACATGCTTATGGAGAAATGAACTTTTAGGATGAAGGCAGCTCATTCCAGTGGTAATATATATTTATATCCTTTTTTTGTTGTAAGCACTGAAGTGTTCTAGTGTTTTGCTACCAAGTATAATAAATTTAACCATATTGCATTATCTGTTTGAAATAGAGGATTGAAATATTCAGGAAAATATGTGATATTCAGATTTGACATTTTGTAGGGACTTGTGCTTCAAATGATTAAACTAAATTCAAGGCATTTTTCCAGAAGGTGGCCAAAAGGCATGTTTATTTTAATTATAGATTTATGTTACAGAGATTAGACAATTAACACAAGGTGCATTTTGTGCAATATTTGAGGCTCCAGTTTAGACAAAGATATCAAGCTGTAGTAAACCTGGTGTACAATTTCAACAATAAAAAGATCAATAACAATTTAACAATATATCTGCTTGTTCGTTTTTTTATTAAGAACTGACACAAAATAAACTTTGTTTCTCCCAATTCACTGAGAAAGCCCAAGGAAACCTTAGCATGCAAATATTATGTGACCAGCAAAATTGCACTTGATTGGTCCCTGGACTACTGATTAAATTTACATGAAGAGCAGCATCCAAGCTGCCCTAATTCACCAGGCATGCAGAGAACAGTAAAGCCTTTCATTTCTTGTGTGCAATACTTGAAAGGTAGATTCCTGATTTGTCACTGGATATAAAGAATATGAATAAATAACCAATTTCCCCAAATAGCTACCCAGAACGGTTAAATTTCAGTTCACCACCAAGTAAACTTTAAGAGAGCAGGCACCATGTACGTCACCTTGGTAATTATGTGTTCTATATGTATAAATGTATGTACAATTTTAGCCACGCACACCTCAGACTTCCATCATCCTATCACAGTCCCAGTAGTTGCACCTTCTCTGAATTTGTGGGTCCTTAGTTTTCTGATGGCACTTTCTTAAATATTCTAACATATTGAGAAATTGTAGATAATGTGTCCCCTGATCCACCTTTCTACCAGTGAACAGTGGAAAGACTCCTCTGGTTCTTAACAATGATCCATTTTACTTAACAGGCAACTCTGTATAAGTTCACAATTTAAAATTTCTCACATCCCCATCAAATGAATGTGTTTGAGAGAAGAAAGTGCTTTCAATATATGAGTCTGTCGCACCTTCAGCTCACCACTTTTATTTAGATAAAAACCACCAGAAAAGTCCCTTACTGAGAAACACCCATTCTTTAAGATGAAACATTTCTGTGGTAGTTGTTGCCCAAAAGTTGTTATTCTGATACCAGAAGTGTTCAGTTTAAGCCAGGAATACAACAAAGATGATGAAGAACACAATGAGCACTCCAAAGACCTTGATCATAAGCCATCTATTTGAAGTCACTGACTGGAAATATTTCAGGATCTCTCCGTGAGCTGCTTCCACATTCAAGTGAGTGTCTTCCACATTGGCATCAATCCTATAATACAGAAATATGAAATTGAGATCAAGGTTTTCAATTCTGTATACTCCATGTAAAGACTGGCAACCAATCCTACAGTACAGAAATATGAAATCACGATCAAGGTAGTAAAGAAATATGAAACTGAGATCAAGGTCTTCAATTCTTTATACTCCATGTAAAGACTGTCAGCCATCAATCCTACAGTAAGATCAAGGTTTTCTATTCTTGATACACATAATAAATTTTGCACTTTTCTTTAAGACTGTCAGACAAAATTTAAAGATTTCTATCACACATTTATTTAAACCAATTTTTGCCCTGTCAAAATCTTTCATCTTTATGCCAAAAGCTCACCTTTGGACCATTTCTTCTTGCTCCTTGACCATGTGAGCCAGTTGTTGGAATATCCCTCCAAGTTCTACTATGGTGGATTCTATATTCTGCATAGTGTCTGCTCTACTTTGAATATAGGAATCCTGAAAGAAAAATAACTTTTTTGTCATTTAAAGCATTTAACAGCATGTTGATATATTTAAAGACTGCACAGTCAAGGATGTGGTCCAGCACCATTGGGCCACTTCATAAACCTGAAATTCAGTCAACAGCAGAATGGCAAGGAAAGTGTATTTTTTGACGGTAAATAAATTGGCTTTGATAGATACATTCAGAATGCATGTGAGCCTATTTATCCTATAATGAGAAAGCACCCTTAGGCTATTGTTTTATTCCCTGGAGAATGCAAGTCAAAGTATGTTGTAACTATAATGAAAACTAACTATTCTGTGTAGGTTAAATGATCTTTTCTGCCATGATAACAACTATTTTGGAGACTGATGACATAATATCATACCTGTTCATCTATGAGCTGCATTTGTTGTTGAAATTTATTTCTGTCCATGCCATCCATATTAATAGCAACATCATTATGGCCGACATCATCCTTTAGTAATACAGAACCATCTAAAACATAGAAATATATAGAAATTATACAACCTTCAGATTAATTCAAAAGCACAATCAAACAAATCTATGAAATAGTCTATTGACCTTTTACAGAGCCATGCCAATCACGCAATGCAATAACTGAAAATTTGCTATGTCAAATGGCATTTTAGGGATTTAAGAAGTGAACATTTCTGTTTCCATACGTACTGTATCCTGTCATGGCTGAAGGAGGAAGTGAAGATGATACTGGGGAATCTGAAAACTGTTCCCGTCTTGATTTCTGTTCTTTCAAATTTTGGGTTCTCACTTCTAATACAGACTTGAAATCATTTGACATGGAGGCAAGTTTTGACTGCAAATGGAAATAAGGTCAATATTCATACAAAAAATGTTAATTATCATATCAACAATACAAAGGCAAAGCTACTGCAACTTATCCATACTACTAACATTATCATCATTATTAACAACAAGATCTAGGTGTTAAACTTTAACATGATATTGTCATATGAACAGATTCATTAATACTCATCTTAATACTGTGATCATACCTGAAGTGCTACAACCACTGAATTTGAATGTGACTGTACATGTTTGCTGTTATTTCTTTGGGACCTCACCAGCTAAAAAAAAAAAATAAAAAAAATAAAAAAATAATAATAATAATAATACATTCAGAAAAGTATGTATTAAAAATATGTTCTATCATAAAAAAGCTCATTTTTAAAAATATAATGTCTGCATCAAGAATTTAAAGCTAAATGACAAGCAAATGTACACTGTTAACAAATAAATAATAAGAAAAAACTTGGCTGACAATGTCCCCCTCACCTCTTGTAAATGGAATATCTGTTTATTAAGACTGCCAATGTCCTGTCTTATGATATAGGTCAACTCTTGGATCTCCACGGGTTTGTCATCAAACAGGGACTTTCTTTTGGCCACTGAAAATATACACCTCACATATTAGATTCAGGTCTACATTGTTATACCAGGGAATGACATTATGATAAAATATAATGTCACTAGAATGTATCACTGTAGTACTTTACACAGTAAATTAATAAATTTAAATAAAATACACAGTATAAAAGTACATATGCAATGCAGAATTATTCAATCAACAGCATAAATATGCCTGTGTCTACCATTCTAGATTGAAATAACTACTTATATTAAGAATTTAATTTACAAAATCAATAAGTGTGGCACACTAATATCCTAAACACACAGATATTTCAACAGTACTTACAAATAGTAAGTTTTTCCAGTTTAGCAAATGTGCTGGCAATGTCTTTTCCAATTTTTCTAAAAAGAAAAGTAAGCATGAGATAGCTAAGTTCAGGTCACCAGTCTAATCATTTCACCAAAGTAAAATAAAATTAAGAAAATGACAAACACAATATTATTCAATTGAGCTTCTTAAAGTTTCCAGTTTCAATAATATTTAACTTACTCACTGAATTCTACTAAAATCATAAGATTGCTAAATGGAGTGGATATTCTACCATTTTGTGACTTACTAGTACTCTATCATACTGTGACTTATTCAACCATGTTGTGTTTTATTCTTCCATATTGTGACTTATTCTTCCACATTGTCACTTATTCTATCTTACTGTGACTTATTCTACTATATTGTGACTTACTTGGCCAACTGTGTGAACTGACTTCTCTGCCTCAGTGTATTACTACTCATTCTGGAGGGGAGGCTGCCATTCATTACCTGGCAAAGAGAAAAAAAACTTGACTTTAACATCTTCATAAATTATACAATAAAGTTTAAATTTATAATATACTTTTCCAAAAAAAAAAAAAAAAAACAAAAATTACATTTTTCTTACACAAAAATCACATCTTGTTTGTTCTTTTTATTCAAAGGTAGAGTTCAGGAAATCAATAAATGAAAAGTTTCTTTTTGTTTGGTTGTTTTTGCTAAATGCACATGCATATTGACAGTTTTCAAAAGGCAAATTGTTATCACACAAGACTTCTAGGCCTGAATCCTTGCATCAATATACATGGTTCACATACATTTGGTAAGTAATGAAGGTGCCTGGGGATCTTATTGATTTCTTTCTTAAATTACACAAATAACAATCTTTATTTCACATCAAGTCTTTTTGTCTCAAAAATGAAAGTCTACCAGCAAGTTCCTATATCGATTTGTTTTCAAGTCAATTTTTTCCACATCTAAAATCATACTTAACTTGTAGACTGACAAAAAAAAAAAAAAAAAAAAAAAAAAAAAAAACTACCTGTCTGGACTGCATGGACTTCACAGCCGACATAAACTCGTTGGTCCGATCACGGCACGTCATGTCTGGGTCTACTTGTCTTAACGAAGGGGGAGGGGCCTGTGGCCTTGTCGATAAACTTGGTGATCCTGAGGGAGAACCCCGCGTATTATATGCAGTGGCTCCACCTGAGGCGTACGGTCTTGGCGGAGTGTTCTCTTTCTGATCTGTTTCAGAACCAGAAGTGGTACGACGGCGTCTGGCTAACATTGAGGACAGTACAAGCACGTGTCATAGGGGCACAAAATGGTGAACTAAAACTAACTAAAATAAGGGGCGGTGTTCTTCTTTGATCTTCAACCTGAAAAGTAAAGAATATGTGTAGGTATTTTTATCAATGTGTAACACTTCCAACGTGCAATAAAAGACATACAATGGTAATCATTATTTCTGTCTGTATAAACTCTCAAAGCTTTCAATTAAAGGGAAAATATTTCAAATATTCCACTGAAATGTGTAAAAATATGACAACTTTAAGTACCTTCTACATCAAATCCAAAGATAAGCGAACAGGTGTATAAGAATTATTTGAATAAGAAAAAACAATACGCATTTGAGTTAGTTATAAGAAATTACCTACTTTTCTTTTGAGACAGACACCTGGCAGTGACAGATAAATGACAGTGACACTGACAGTTATGATCTATTGATACTCTCATCAACAAATATGAAACCAACATCTTCGGCCTCTTATTCAGATGAGAAACTTTAAAAAACTACTCAGAGACAGAAAAGGTCCTTGGCCCGTCATTAAACAAGGGCTTTTGAACGAGGGGTAAACAAAGACGCTGCCATATGTAGGAAATAATTACGACGCCGGCGGTGACTCTGGGAATCTAACTACGACATTCCATCACCCCATATTTGACATACCGGGCAATTGTTAAAGAATTTCAAGATAATACTTACCATATAAGTAGTCTTGAATAAGCACTGGCTAATACTGCTGGGCAAATAAGACCGAGGTACTTTGATAATATTAGATTTAAGTATATTTTTTCACGATATTTGTTACAGAGTTTATTTGGCCACGAAGCAACTTACTGACGTCAGTAAACTACTTCTACGCATGCGCATGACCTATAAGTGAGAGCATTCTGGGATACTACTTCCGTAATCATTTTCTTATCGGCTATCAACGGGAGCAGACGGAAAGTTACATCGCTCTGTCTTTGAATTATATTTAAAATAAAACCCTTGAACATTGTAAACAAAGAATCGTTTATGTGGAAAAATTAAGTTTCGGCAATGCCACCAACAATCGGAGAAGATGCAAGCGTTTCTCATGGAGTCTCAGGTAAAATAAAAAACTTTATGACAGTGGAACTTTCCTTCACCACCGTCGATTGGAGCGCCATCTGTAGTAAACAAATGCCACACGTGCGTCAGAAGTGTGGTCTATGAAATGATGTTTAGATCATGTGTATAATTATTTTTCAAGTGGAGACAGCAACATTGATATGTTACTTGTTACATTAGTTGTTAAAGTTCCTTAAAATTGCAATGATTTCAATTTGGACTTGTGAACTTTGCACCTCCAGTGACTATTTAAACCTTCAAAACTTTCCATAACAATTTGTAACTTATAATTAAAACACTCATTTACACTGCAACGTATCAAAGTGTAGCATTGTGTTATATGATATTAAAGTGATGCTGATGACGTTGATTTATGCTGGAAAATGCGTATAATGCGAAGGATGTGTTCATTATTTCAAATGTTTAAAACAAACGGTAATATATATTTTTTACCTACTCTTTTGCCAGTTGGCTATAGAGTGTTTGATTATATAATTTGGAAAGATGTTTATATTTTATTTCTTAAACAATTAATAATAGCCCTTATATTAATCAGTTTCCAAATTGTTTTATATCAAAACAAAATAGTTCCTCTCTTTACCTTTAAAGGCATTGGAGCAGAGATTTCTGCTACCCTGGAAGAAAGGATCATGATATTTGATGGAGCTATGGGGACAATGATACAGAAAAACAGACTGGAAGAGGAGGATTTCAGGGGAGAGCTATTTAAAGATCATCCCAAAAACTTAAAAGGCAACAATGATCTCCTTAGCCTTACTAGACCAGATGTTATTATGAAGATCCACAAGGTAAATTAAGTTCTTATGACAGCTTAAGATAGAAAAAAGTCTGTAATAGGGTACTGTACTAAGTTAAAATATAATCAGAAAATAATATTTTATTTGAAGTCCTATATTTCATCTGGTATCTTGAATGAAATACTTTCTAGGGTTGCCAAATTATGAATTATTTTAAAATGTTATAATGAAAAAAAAAATGACTGGTGTATGCAGGATGTCAAGAAAGAAAAGGCACTAATATGCGGTGACTCTCTCTTAGAGTCTCTGCCTGTCTCTGCCATGTATAATATAATTTTTGTCATTGCAGGAGTATCTAGAAGCAGGAGCTGACTTTGTAGAAACCAACACATTCAGTGGGACCTGGGTAGCCCAGGCTGACTATGGACTGGAGCATTTGGTAATTTATTTTGATTCATTGCAGAAGTGTAATTTTGAATTATTTATGTGTTAGTCATATTTTTTTCTACTTTGGTCCTGTCATTTGTCTGTTTCTTGGAGTACAAAGAATATTAGAAAATGGTATTGGAATTTTAGGGTCCATACTGCCTAATGCATTGCTTATTTATTTTACCTATTTATAATTGTTTATTTTATTAAAACTGCAGGCATACAGGATAAATCTTGAGTCTGCCAAGCTTGCACGCAGAGCTGCAGATGAAGTGACAGCCCAGACAGGTACTGAGGACTGTTTGTTACTTTCCACTTTAATAATAGGCACTGTAAGATATTTGATTTCAGTAATAGGCCAGATAGGGGCTTAAGGAGTGATCTATTACTAAGGACACTACCTGTTAAGGCATCACAAAAGGAACTATATAGAGAAATTTGCTATTTATGTTCAATACATGGTCAATGTTTTTAGTATTTTCAACACATTTATTATTATTTATTATTATGAACTAAGAAACAAAATGTGATAAATTCAGGTGTCCGTAGATATGTGGCTGGAGCCTTGGGACCAACCAATAGAACATTGTCCATATCTCCTTCTGTTGAAAAACCAGAGTACAGAAACATAAGTAAGTTCTACATTTTTCTTAATATTCTCCAAAAATCTTATGAAAGTTATGAATGATGTGAAGTAATGCAAAATAAGATATAATATGTTACATTTGAGAAATTATTTTTAAAAATTTATTTTATCCCATAGCTCCATATTTGAGATATTGAAGTCAGAATTTAAAACCAGATGACTTTGTATGTGAAAAGCAGATTGTATGGATTCTGATTTCTTCTCTTTATATCCTTGAAAGCCTTTGATGAGTTGGTGACAGCGTACACAGAGCAAGCCAAGGGGTTACTGGACGGGGGCGCTGATGTCCTTTTAGTTGAAACAATATTTGACACTGCAAATTCTAAGGTGGTAGATCTACATGTTACTTTGGTTAGGTGTTGTGTAATATATACTGTGGTATACTGGCTATTTCAGGATATTTAGCATAGATAAAGCATAGCTATAATTATGAAAATACTTGCAGTAAAAATTTAGATTTTCTCTGGTCTTCTATGCAGTCTTAGTTTACTTGATATAGATATTGGTTTAATACTTTTTTCAATGAATCTGAGTAGGGTAAAATTTTTGTACAAACTTAATAATTAATTTTTGTGTTAAATTTCAGGCAGCTTTGTTTGCAATTGAGACATTGTTTGAAAAAGACTACAAACCTGTTCCTATATTTGTAAGTGAATGAATAACTTCACTCAGTACTCTTGTCTGACATTTTTCAGACTAATGCATTTTATTAGAATAACTTAGTTATTTGGGTATTATTAAAAAAGTAAATATTTGCCACAGTACATATTTGCCTTTGCAATTAACCATAACCATATAACCCTAGCTTTCCTATCAGAAGAAGTGAAAGTGAAAGCATGATTTCAGTAACATTATTTGTAAAAATGTTATACTTTAATTAGCTGTAATCTCTGTCTGCAAATTTTCCCTATATTCCAGATATCTGGCACCATAGTTGACAAGAGTGGAAGGACGCTGTCAGGACAGACAACGGAGGCATTTGTCATTAGTGTGTCCCACTCTAATCCTATGTGGTAAGCCAGGCCCCTTGATGGGGAGGGGGGATCAGAGGGTTAGAAAGGGTCATTTTTTAGGAGGAAAGGGCCTGCTTTGAATCAAAATTTGTTCATCTTGGACATAGATTTGAATAAGTTCCTAAGTTTGGTAAATTGATGAGATCCTTTACAGCCTATTCATCTTGAGACTCTTAGAAGTACGTAGATTTGGTAATTCATTGTACCACCAGCGTTAGCGCTGGCGGTACACATGGTTTCGGTCCCGTCCAGATCGTTCCGCCGGCTCCGCCGGCTCCGTCGGACGGCT